CTGCCGCGTTCGCCCACAAATATACAGTCAATCCACTTTACAGTGTGTTCTGTGAAGCGCTTTGGGACATCCTCCCGACGTGAAAAGCGCTATATCAAATGCAAGGATTATTATTATTATTATTATAAGATAGTGCTTTAGTAGTCATTTAAGCCCGAAGAGTAATGATAATGCGTCTGGTGTAATATGATGCTTATGCTTGTGTGGATTTATAATTGCTAATAAAACATTTTAATGATATCCTTGGTGTGGTTTCTGACAAACGCTTGAACCCAGTTTTACACCTGCCCCCCAGAAAAATACCAACTTTAATGGTCATTCCTAATGCTCCATCTGTGAGGACACAGTGCTCACGCCTCACACAGGCAGCAAGAAGGGACAAGACAGGGAAGGAGGCGGCGGGGGAGCCAGGAGAGACTGGAGGTAAGACTGGGCAGAAATGGGGCCAAAACAGGGGCAGAGAATCAAAGATAGTAAAAATAATAATCCTTGCATTTTATATATCGTCTTATCACATTGAGATGACTCAAAGCGCTTCACAGAATACATTGTACATTGTGTATTTTGTGGGTGAAACGTGGCAGCAAATTGCACCCAGCAGTTTCCCACAAATAATCGTGGATTGAGTGAACACATCATTTTTTTGAGGAATTATTGCCACCGGAAAGTGATCTGTCAATCGACTAACAATCAGGTTCCTACTTACTGCTAGGTACACAGAAGCTTGTGGAGTGGAGTTTGGTGAGGGCACAGGTGTTTTAGATGAGCTGGATCTTGTGGCTGGTGGAATCGGGGAGACCCGCGAGAAGAGTGTTTGAGAAATCGAGGCGAGAGGTGACAAAGGCGTGGACCAACAAAGGTTTCAGTGGCATTTGGGGTGAGTTAAGATTCGGAGACAGGCGATATGGTGGAGGAAAGAGGGATCATGGTAAGGGACTGGATGTGGGGGATGGAAGGACAAATGAGGATCGAAACAGATACCGAGGTTACTGAGAGGCTGAGGAGGTTGAGGAGGTCAGAGCCAGAGGTGAGGAGAGTTTGGTGGGAGCCAAAGGGGGACGGCTTCTGACTTGGCCATTCAGCTGCAGGAAGTTGCATTGTAGGTCTGGATGTCTGACAAACAGGACATCAGTGACCCTGGGGTCATGACGAGAGGAGGAAGCGCAGATTTGAGTGTGATCTGCAAGACATATGGATACTAACCTGTATCTGCGAGGTTCCATGACATTGGATAAGAAGCGCAGGTTGGAGGATGGGCCAGTAGTGAGTTTGGATCTATGGTATCTGCCCTTTCCCCACAGCCACTGTAGTTTGCTCCTTTTTAAGGTATTTATCTGGTTCCCCTTTGAATACCAATATGGATTCTGCCTCAACCGTTGCTCCTGGCAGGGCAGTCCATATCCTAACCACTCTGCAAGAAAAAATTCTCCTAACCTCCTCATTAGCTCATTTACTCATTATTTTTAATTGTTTTTTGACAATTTTGCCCACCTGCCTTCCCTCTGCTGTTCCATTCCTTTTAATTTTTGAACACCCAACATATACTTGCACTCTTAAGTGCTGAGGCTTGTGAAGGGAGCTATGTAAATGCAAGTTGTTGTAGTTTTTCTTATTCTTCCTCCCAAAATGCATTATAATAATAATCCTTGCATTTGAATATAGCGCTTTTCACGTCGGGAGGACGTCCCAAAGCGCTTCACAGAACACACTTTAAAGTGAATTGACTGTATATTTGTGGGCGAACGCGGCAGCCAATTGCGCACAACAATGTCCCACAAACAGTCGTAGATTGAAAATGACCAATTTATTATTGTTTTTGGTTTTGGAGGGATTATTATTAGGCTCTGTGTGGAGTAAGGAAACTTGCCCAAGGTTTTGCCCTGCCTGGAATTGAACTTCATATTTGACTGCATTAAATTTCATTTGCCGTTTCTCTGCCCAATCAGCTGATTTGTCTATATCCCCCCTCCCACCCAATGTGACTACCCTCCTTGGGGAGAGAGTTAAGTGGGGTCTCCTTAGAACTGAACTGGCTCCAAAGTGACAGTCTTTGGTTAACAGCTCTATCAACCTGTTCTGCCACCTTCAAAGACCTGCGTATGTGAACCCCCAGCTCTCTGCTCCTGAACTGCCTTTAAGATTGTACCATTTAGCGTATATTGCTACTCCTCAATTCTCCTCCCAAAATGCATCACCTAGAAGAAAGCCATTCGACCATGGTGTCTGCACCGGCTCAACGAAAGCAATCCTCCCATTTCCGCGCCTTTTCCCCACAATGCCCAGAGCACTGTCAGGAGATCACATTGAGGAGATCACAGCGAGGAGATGTCCAGGACACAGTGAGGTACCTTTGTTGTCCGGTTGCTGGAAATAGTCTCGGCAGGAGTTGGGCAGGACATTGCTTCGAGGCCTGGGATCAGCGGTGGCTGAGTTCAGGCCCAGCCGATCTGAACTGTGCTGATTGGCCAGACATGATCGCCAGTTCCTCTCCTGCTTTGGGAAGAAACAAAGAGTTAACTGCTGACCTAGCCGAGAGGCTCATAGGTCTCGCTTCTCTGAGGATCAGTGTCTGGGCTTGTCTCAGGGTCAGTGTCTGGGTTGGGGTCAGTGTCTGGGCGGAGGGTTAGGCTGTGAAATGTCGCTCTTACCTCGCCCTCTTTGCTGCGAGCTTGTCTGTACTTGAAAGTATCTTTAGAATTGAGCTCCTTCTCCCTCTCTTTTTCTTTAGTTTTTTCCTTCTCGCTCTCCAGTTCCACAGCTTTCTTCTCCGAGTGAATGCCCACAATTTTTTCAGCTTCCTTCAGATCAGTCAGTGTGACTCCCTGTGGGCAGAGCAACGCTCAGAATAATGCGCACAAACCATTCCTCACCTGACTCAAACCAGGCGAGGAGAACGGAGCGGAGTGATGGGGGGAGAATGACAGGAGGCAGAGTGACAGGGGCAGAGTGACAGGAGAGTGACGGGGGGAGTGTGACGGGGGCAGAGTCACGGGGGCAGAGTCATGGGGGCAGAGTCACGGGGGCAGAGTCACGGGGGGAGTGTGACGTGCAGTTGCTGACCTGAGTAGATCGTCGGGACTGGCGTGCGTGTCGTGACCGTGCCTTACGTTGTGCTTCAGATTCCTCGTCTCGCACAGGGATCAGGTACGATCTGTCCGGAAATAAGAGAGATTCCAGGATAGTACCTGTGGCCACACACACACTCATTCACATACACAGTGTATTCTGTAAAGCGCTTTGAGACACCTCAACGACCTGATAAAGTCCTATATCAAAAGCAAGGATTGTTTATTATTCTAATATCTTCCGGGGTCTGTCACCCCAAGCCTCATCAACTATCTGGTGGTCATCTGCCTTCAGCGTAGTGGGAATACCTATACAATACGGCTTGTGATGTGCTAGCCACCTTGATGTTCTCGAGGTCCAAATCCAATGCCGCATACTAGGCTTACTCAGCACCAGCTGCTTAATCTAGGTCCTCATGTGAGGGGCCTTGGCAAATCCACGTGCCCACTGTGAAGCCATTTCTGCCTCCAGGGTGCTCAGCGACAGGTCAGTGTAGGCTAGAGCCCTCCATCCCTGTAGCCACTTGTTTGCCACAAATCCACCTCACTGCTTGATCCTGAACTTTGCAAATGGGTCACAGGAAGCCTCTCCATTGCATTTGCCCCAGGAGCTCAGATCTATAAAGTTGGATGTTTGCCCGCAAGTCTTGCTGTCCTTGAAGAGAGAAGGGCTTCGCCAGAGTGCCCTTCGCCCCTTCTCAGAGCAATCACACACACTCACACACACAGCGAATGATGCTGATACCTGCGTCGCTCTCGGAGCTCGGTGGCTGCTGGTATGACATCACTTGTTTTCTCAGGTTGGTTGCGACTCACGGGGCTGAGGAAAGCAATGTTACTGGTCATTTGGGGAGGTGCAATTTTTGGGGGAATAGGCAGCACATACACAGCCACACACACACACACAGACATACACACACACAGTGAGTGGTGCTGATACCTGACTCTCACTCAGACACACGAGCAGCTGAACTCCATACCTTAACTTCTCACCCTCACCAACAGTGAAGGGCCTCTGCGTGAGGGCCACACCCTTTTCCTGGTCCTGGAAAGAAACCAGCAGCAGAGCCCAAGTCAGTGACAGCATTGGTTAGAGCTTCCTCTACATTGTCCGTCCACACTCCTTCGCTGGGTCAAAAGGACTTGGGAGGGTCAGACTGGGGGCAGAGGCTCAGCAATGCAAAGCCCAAAAGGCAACGTGGTCCTTGTGGAGTAGCAGCGGGAAGCTTGCCAAACAACGCTCTGTATAGCATGCTACAACAACATCTTTCATTTGTATATTGCCCTTCACCCTGTCTTGGACCACTTGTGGATTTTGCTGGTTAAATTGCACCAATTACATCAGCACACATTCCAGACACAGGGAAATTCCCATGTGTAGATGACATATACTGTGTATGTAACACTCTCAGTCTGGTTTTGATATCATTAAGCACAGATGGACACCCTGTAAAACACAGGCCGGGAGTGTTATGGTGAGCAGTGTGTGTACTCAAGTCACCGCACCATATCCCTAGCGCAGCACAGCCTGGGCACAGCACAGCCCTTGAGGAACCCCCACCGGCTCCTCTTGTCTAACCTCGAGCGTGTGCTACAGGGACCTGCTCCTCCTCCTGGCCGGTGACAATGTCTGTTGACAATGATGACCTCACATAGAAACAACAGAGCTTGGTGTTTTTCTGTGTCACTTACCATCGAACTGGTTGTGCCAGTGGTTGTGCCAGTCGTGCCTGTGCCCATCCTGCCTGTGCCAAGGCTGGTGATGCCTGTTCTGCCTGTGCCAGGGTCAGTGATGGCAGTGTTGGTGATCCCCATCCTACCAGTCCCAGGATTGGCGATGCCCATTCTGCCAGTGCTAGGGTTGGTGATGCCAATTCTGCCTGTGCCAAGGTTAGTGATGCCTGTTCTGCCCGTGCCAGGGTCGGTAATGCCAGGATTGGTGATGCCCATCCTACCGGTGCTAGAGTCAGTGATGCCAGGGTTGGTGATGCCTATCCTACCCGTGTTAGGGTTGGTGATGCCAGGGTTGGTGATGCTGATTCTGCCAGTGCCAGGGTTGGTGATGCCATTTTGTCGGTGCTAGGGTTGGTGATGCCCATTTTGCCAGTGCTAGGGTTGGTGATGCCCATTCTGCCAGTGCTAGGGTTGGTGATGCCCATTCTGCCGGTGCTAGGGTTGGTGATGCCCATCTTGGCGATGCCAAGGTTGGTGATGCCAGTGCCAGTGTTGGTGTTGCCAGGGTTGTGATGCCAGGGTTGGTGATGCCGATGCCAGGGTTGGTGTTGCCAGGGTTGGTGATGCCGTTGCCAGGGTTGATTGAGCTGCCTGAGTTATGACCTTTCCTGGCTTGGTGAGACTTGGCCTTTTCTGTCAACCCCAAAAAGAGAGAAAAGTCAGGGATGTGTTTTCCCCTCCAACCCCCACTCAGGCTAGTCAGCACTGCCATACGGGGCGTCCAAATATAAACTGTCTCCTGTTCTTCAATGAGTAGAGAAATGAAAATGAAAATAAGACTTGAAAGAGAAGCATACAATAAATATAAAGAAATTAATACAAAAAGGAAATCAGGCAGCATATAGAAAACATAGAAGGGAAGCAAAAAAGGAGATCTGACAGGCCAAAAGGGTATATGAGAAACATAAGACAAAATACTAAAGGATTTTGTAAACACATAAAAAGCCAAAGAATAGTTGAAGAGAAGGAAGAACCAATTAGAAATGAAAAGGGAAATCTGGTCATTGAAAATGAAGGTCTATACATGGAAATCTAAGGAATAGATTGTTGGAATGGAATGCGCACTCTCTCCCTCGAGGGATGTTTACTGTTTTTTGATGTGGGTGGGAAATAGATTTTGAGATTTAAGCAGGGTTATCGGTGCATCAATGTACTCAAGCGTAAATAGGGATTTAGCCTTAAATCAGAGGCTTTCACTTAGATATAGAAACTCTGCTGAGCTGATCAATGGTGAGCATGGTGGGGGGAGGGTGTCGATGGACATTGTTTGCTTTCAGCCTTCACTAAAATATCATACGTGCAGAGGGTAATTACTGGCTGGCAGGTTGCCAGGGGAGATGGAAAAGGGAGGACAGTGGACTGTTTCAAAAAGCAGCTCGATGCAATAATGGGGGAACAGGAGGGCATGTGTTCAAGGAAGAATGAGATCTAATGGGCCTTCTTCATCCACACCAATCTTGTGAGATGTGTGCCTCTGGCCTCCCCACTGCTGAGTGTCTGACCCCTGACATACCCGTCTCTGCTCCAGGCCCGATGTGGGACGGCTTGTGATAGGAACTTTGCCGCTTCTCTCTGCTCCTTGTCTCCTCATGTTCAAGAGGAGGCAGAGGCACGGGCTCCAGGGGCCTGCGCTCCTTGTCCTGGATCCAGACCTTTTCCTTGCTGCTCAAGCGGGAAATAGAAGTCCTGATGGGAAGGCATGAAGCGCTGGTTGGCAGTTAGTGTGATGCATGCAAATCAGGTAGTGTCCATCTCAATGTTAAGACATCATGTGGGAAGGACAGCACTCCCAGCACCCCATCACACCCAGCACCCCATCACACCCAGCACCCCATCACACCCAGCACCCCATCACACCCAGCACCCCATCACACCCAGCACCCCATCACACCCAGCACCCCATCACAAACGAAGACACCAAGTAACCACTTGCCCCGCCTACCAATTACACCCATGTAAGAAGTATACATTCATAAATGGGATCAGACACTGGGTTATTGGCTCCACTCGCTGCTGAGCTGATCAACGGTGAGCATGGTGGGGGTGGGGGGGATCTATGGACATTGTTTGCTTTCAGCCACACACCCTCCACTTCACCGCATGCTCTCCCCTTCACTACCCTCACACCAGCTCCCCCCACCCCGAATCAGGCACTCATAACGGGGGGCTGGGACGGGTGTGTGCACCCAACGTACAGTCTTGCTTCAGCCAAAACGTAGGCCAGCGCCAGTACCACAGTCTGAGTGGGTGCTGTGGCAGGGAGTGGAGGGTGGGAGCACAGTGTGTCAGAGTCTCCTTGTTCTTGATCAGAAGTCAGTGAGCAGCCAGTGAGCACAGCACCCATTCAGCGCGCATGCTCATTCCATGCTACAGGTAAATAAGTGCACGCTGCCAGCCCCCTGCCCCACTGGCCCCCTGCCCCCAGGCCCCCTGACCTCCGAGCTCTGCGTTGCGGTGGCTGGAAAGGGTTTGAGTCGATCAGCGATCCCCGGACATCAGCTTTTTGTTCCTTCTCCATCTTCAGCTGTTCAACACAAGCAAACATGTCATAACATGTCATACCTCAGCAGTCAGTCGATTGGCGCATCGCTTTCCGTGAATGATGATAATAATAATTTGGTCACTCAATCCGCGACTGTTTGTGGGACGCTGCTGTGCGCAATTGGCTGCCGTGTTTCGCGAACAAAATATGCATTCAATTCACTTTACAGTATTTCCTGTGAAGCGCTTTGAGACGTCTCAACGACATTGATAAGGAGTTATATGAAATGCAAGGATTATTATTATAACATCACCCTTGCAACAGACCACCCCCCCCAACCCACTCATCCCCCCCTCACACCCTCCCCAGCTCACTCCCTCGCTTACACACACCCGCGCATCACACCTCCTTGCACACACACCTCCGCCTTGTACTCACTCTCTGTTGTTGCTGTATCTCCTCCAGTATTTCCAAAAGGTTTTCTTCGGCAACATCGAACGGAGTCTGACCCTAACACACACAACAGATGTCACTTCCCCCGTCACTGCCCCGGCACTCTCCCCCCACCCCCGACACTCTCCCCCCACCCCCAGCACTCTCCCCCACCCAGCACTTCCCCACCACCCGGCACTCCCCCCACCCCAGCACTCTCCCGCCCGGACCACCCCCACCATCACTCTCACCCCCGTCACTCCCCCGCCCCATCACGCTCCCCCTCCCATGGCACTATCCCCCCACATCACTCACTCCCCTGGCACTTCTCTCCCGGCAATCACCATGGTGCTGGTTGCTGACAGGCTCACGCTATCAGCCACTAAGCGGCAAGCCTCGGCCTGGCCCCAGTGTGAGGCTGCGTGGAGTGGAGTCCAGCCATCAGCGTCCACAGAATGAACATCACAGCCAGCCTGCAGCAACAGCCTGGAGAGAAGGGGGGAGAGAGACAGGAATAAGAATAGGAGAGGATCACAAAATCACAAGATTGATCTTTGGCCCATTTGATCTCATCCTTCCCACACACACCCATCACTGCATTAATGAGTCTAATGCCTCCTCTCGTCTCTCCCCAATTCTCTCTCTTCCCTTCTCTCGCCCCTCCGCATTCCTACCATCTTTCCTGCGACTACCATTCCAGTCGTTGATTGCTCTCTTCCTGGTGTCTGTCCTGAAATTGCCCTTTACAGCTCTACCTCTTGTTCTACTACTTTGGTGCATCCTAAAGTAATGATGTGGGTTTACTGTTTCAATCCCATTTAAAATCCCATGCCCTGTATGAGGTCCTCTCTAAGTTGTCTTCTCTCAAGACTGAAGAGCCTGAGCTTGTCTAATTGTTGCTTACAGCTCATTCCTCTAATACAGGGATCAGCCTCGTTGCTCTCCTGGGCAGCCCCTAATGTCTGTCTGCAGCTTCAAGGTATGGCCTGACCAGAGCACTGGACAGCCAGAGGGGTGGCGGGGGTGGTGGGGGGGGGAGGGAGAAACAGCGAGGGGCAGGGGTAAGCGTCTGGGGGAGGGCCTGGGCAGGGGAGGGACTGGCCCAGGTGAAGGGACCTGGGAGTAGGGGAGGGGCCAGGCTGGGAGGAGGAGCGAGGGGAGTGGGCTGGAGTAGGGGAACTCACTTGATGACCCCCAGGTAGCCCTTGGCGGCCGCCACGTGCAGGGCGCTGGCCCCTGATACCGGGTGACGGACGTCGCGGACGGTCCCTGAGTTCAGCCACTGCCGGGCATCCACAGTCATCAGCACCTCCTCAGCGCCACGGGCACTCGACACATCCACCCCTGAAACACACGTGACCTCCATCACACACACCATAACACACATGACACAGGCCATAATATCCGTGACACACGCCATAACTCACTTGACCTCTGTCACACACTCCATAACACACGTGACCCCCAGGATACACACCATAACCCACGTAACCCCCGTGACACACGCCAGAACATACGTGACCCCCGTGACACATGCCATAACACATGTGACCCCTGTGACACATGCCATGACACACGTGGCCCACATGACATATGCCATGACACACGTGACTTCCTTGACACACACTGTGACAAACGTGACCCCCGTGACACATGTGATCCCCGTGACACATGCCATGACACATATCACCCCCATGTACCCTGCTGGTTGATGGCCGCCTGTAGGAGCCGTGTGACCCCATCCTCCGACGCGAGGTCCAGAGGGAGTTCGCCCTCACTGTTCACTGCAGACACGTCTGCTCCTTCCTTGACCAGATACCTGAGCAATAGCAGGCTGGTCAGTCCCAGATTCACACCTCCCTGCACCCACCGCATAGCCTGTCATGGCACTGCACAGGTCAGCACAGTCTGGCACAGAATGCCTCATTCTGGCACAGCCTGGCACAGAACGACATGGTTTGGCACAGAATAGGATTAGTGAGGGTATTAGAGAGGACAAGAGCTGGGCGGGGAGATCAGAGGGGCCGGGGAGGTTGGGGGTTGGGGTGTAGGAAGTAGGGGGGCAGGCTTAGGGGGTGGCGAGGCTGTACTCACTCGGTGATGGCCCTGAAGCCGCAGGAAGCTGCTGCGTGCAGGGACGTCCAACCTTCATTGTCCGGTTGGTTGATGTTGGCTCCGTGTTCCACCAGGAACTTCACCATCTCCAGGTTCTCATCGATGCAGGCCTGGGGTGGGAGGGACAAAGTCAGGGAGTGGGCTGGGGTGAGACCATCATACACGCAATGTCTTTTGATTTTTATCCTTATCTCCTTTGTTAGGCATCAGCCTGACGCAGTTGTAGTACTCTCGCCTCTGAGTCAGAAGTTTGTGGGTTCAAGCCTCATGTTGAGACTTCGAATCACATACTCCAGTGCAGTGCTGCGGAGATACTGCACTGTTGGAGGTGCCATCCTTTGTATGAGACGTTAAACTGAGGCCCTGTCTGTCTGTTCAGGTGGACATTAACATGGTCAACTTGGTACCATTTGAAAAAAAGGAGTTTCTCTCTCCCGGTGTCCTAAGCAACAATCCCCCAAATAGAATTGGTCACTCACTCCATAGCTGTTTGTGGGACATTGCTATTGATAGTACTTTATACTTTTTTATTTTAATTTTGCACGGGTGGGAGGAGAAACCTCTCGAAGAGACAAAGGGAAGGCGGTTTGTTAAGTAGGACTCGAACCAGGTGAGTGCAGTCCCACTGAGGTGGACGAGGGAGGAGAGGCGGTGAAGATGGCATGTCACTCCTGAGACTGTACTGTGGGAAGGGCAGAAACCAGTCTGGAGGGCTTGAGGAGGAAGTGCAGGGAAACGTGTGAGCAATGCTGGTTAGCGACAACTCGTTCAGAGCTATGGCAAGGAAGGTCAGGTTAGAAATGGGACGATAGTTTGTAAGGTTAGAGGGGTCCAGGGTGTTTTGTTTGAGGAAGGGCGTGATGACAGCGGGTTTGATCCGTTTTGATGTGTTGTGTTTATTTTGCCCTGCTGCACGTGGGTATAGAATGGTCCTGTGGGCACTGCACAATGTTCTTAAAATGTCCATTTATCCTCAACTGATTTGTGCTTGAGTAATGCCTCCCAGTCTATGTTCCAGCTCAGCCCTCGTACCCCTGAGTTTATCCACCTAATGTTGTAGCCAGGAGTTTGGTTACGTGCTGGTTCTGTTACCCAAGTGAAATGGAAAGTTATTGAGCTGTGGTCACTGTCCCCTAGTGGATCGACTGCTTCCACTCCCTGCATAGTGTCTGTCACCTGAGAGACTTAATATTTACCACCATCCTCTGCTTGCCAGCGCTAAAAAGGTAAGGAATGTGGACTGTGGTGTGCGGGGGAGGGTTCCTCTGTTACTCAGCTCCATACACGACAATAACATTCCTCCCAGTGAGGAAAAGGCCGTGAGACTCTAGCACCAAACATGGGCCAGTTTGGCCAACACACACACTGCCCACCGCACACACACACAATTCCCGTCACACTGCCGCGCACACTGCCCCCCGCGCACACGCACACACTGCACCCCCAAACACTGCACCTCCACCCCCACAAACACTGCCCCACCACACACACACCTCCCGTCACACTGCCCCAAACACTGCACCCTGCCCTCATTCCACCCCCACACCCGCAAATACACTGCACCCCCCCCCCACCCCCCACACACCCACTTCCTGTTGTACTGGCGCACACATTGCCCTCCGCACATACTGCCCCCCACACAGACTTTCCGTCACACTGCCCCTCGCACACACACACTGCACCCCCCCCACACACACACACACACACACTGCCCCTGCAACACACACTGCCCCCTGCACACACACACTGCCCCCTGCACACACTGCCTCACCCCCACACACTCGGCTCCACTGGATCCCCAGTCTCCAGCGGATAGAGTTCAAAATCTCCGTCCTCGCTTTCAAAGTCCTCCACGGCCTTGCTCCTTCCTACCTCTGTGACCTATTAACTCCATATCGACCTGTCCGCTTCCTCCACCATAGCCACTGTCCCCCCCCCCCCCCCACACACGCGCGCACTGCGTTCAGTTTTGGGCACCACACCTCAGGAAAGATATATTGGCCCTGGAGGGGGTGCAGCGCAGGTTCACCAGAATGTTACCGGGCCTAAAAGAGTTAAGTTATGAGGAAAGGCTGCGTAAACTTGGATTTTTTCACTCAAAGGGTGGTAGAAATCAGGAATTCTTTCCCCCAAAAGGCCGTCGATGCCAGATCCATCCACACCTTCAAGAGTGAGGTTGATAGATTTTTGGTAGGTCAGGGAATTAAGGGATATGGGGAGAAAGCAGGAAATTGGAATTGAAAGGATGAGTTGAGGTACAGACCAACCGTGATCTAATTAAATGGCGGAACAGGCTCGAAAGGCTGAATGGCCTACTCCTGTTCCTATGTTCCTATCCCACGCCCGAACCCTCTCCACCATCAATGGTCGGACCTTCAGCCTCTCTGCCCCAACGTTCCCTCCACCTTGCTTCCCCCCTTGCCTCCTATCAAGACCCTCCTCTTCGACCGTGCCTTCGGTCATCATCCTACCCCCACCCTCCCTGCCCTCCACCCCTCCTGATCCCAACCCCCAACTCCGGTCCAAATCCCTTACTCCAATGCCTTAGGATGTCCTCCGATGTGAAAGGCGCCATCCAAATCTAATTTGTTGTTGTCTATGCCGTACACTGGCACACACTGCTTCAAGCACACACACTGCCCACCCCACCCATACACACACACACACACACACGCACTGCCCCTCACACAACACACGCAGTACAAATATACACTTTACAATCTATTCTGTGAAGTGCTTTGAGACATCTGGAAGACGTGAAAAGCGCTATATCAAATGCAAGGATTATTATTATTATTATCATCATCAGCACCATCATCATGACCATCACGATCACCACTATCGGTGTGACCGCTCTGAAGCAGGCGCACACCGTGCCCACTCTGGGCGCTGGCGTACCTGCCACCCTCACTCTGAGATCGTGGTATTTTTCCCCGTACTCATTCCTCAGCAGGATGCGGTACAAGGCTGAGTCTGAGCGCTGGGCACTTGGCACCAGGAACTGAGACATCTTTGGCCCCTTCGTGATCGTTTCTTTGCCTTTTGCCGGCGTCCCATCCTTCAGCCACATGACTGTGGGCGGAGGAGAACCCTGGACCAGAGAGAGAGAGAGACCGTCACCGACACGGAACACACCGTCGCCGACACGGGACACACTGTCGCCGACACGGGTGACACACCGTTAAGATAGCAGGGATGGGCTGGGACTCACCGAGAAGCCGACGTTCATACAGAGCGCAGAGCCGGCGCGCACCACCATACTGCTTGGCATCCGCGCGTCCAGGAACCGGGGAGGAGCTGCAGAGAGTGAGGCACCAAATCAACCTGGCACACACACACACACGCACAGCCCGACATGCGCGCGCACACACACACAGCCCGACACGCGTACACACACAAAGCCCGACACACGCACACACCAACAGCCCAACACGCACACACACAGCCCGGCACACACACACAGCTCGGCACACACACACAGCTCGGCACACACACACAGCTCGGCACACACACACACACATACCCTGCACACACACACATACACATATAGCCCAGCACACACACTGGCTGACACATGATCACCTGGGCACACAAGACAAGGTTACCTGGGCACACAGAGCGGTGTTACCTGGGGACAGAGCAGGGTTATTTGGGAACACAGTGGGGTTACCTGGGGGTGGCATGGCATACACGCCCCTGTCCAGCTCCTTGGGCTCGCCCACGCCGCCCTCGTTGACAGCCCGGATGCGGAAGAAGTACTTGTTTCTCTCCTGCAGTCCGCCCACAGTGTAGCTGGTGCTGGTAATGGGGATCTTACTGCACTTGGTCCATTCCTTGCTCTCCCCGGCCCTCATCTCCAGGATGTAGCCTTGGGGCTCGTCTCCCTGCTCCGGCTTCTCCCACGCCAGGGACACACTGGAGTTCGTAGAATCCGTCACATTGATATTCTTCACCAGCCCCGGAGCCCCTGGCATCAGCAACACAAGCAATTTAGTGTGGGCGGGGGCAGCGGGGGCAGCGCAGGCGGCACAGTGTGGTAGGTCAATGTGGGCGGGGGCAGCGTGGGAGAAGCAGTGTGAGCGGAGTCAGTGTGAGCGGGGTCAGGGTGTGTGGGGCTGATTTGGGGGCGGGGGAAGGCAGTGTGGGCGAAGCATTGGGACAGACTTTAACAATTACACTCGCAAACTTTACATGATATTTCTACTGCTAAAAGGAAAACTACAATAACACAGGACAAGGGAAAAGGGCTCTTCTGATGATGATGATATCCTTATAGTTGCTCATTTCACTGACTGTATGAGGTAAGAACTTGACTGACACAGGGGACAAATGAGTTCTCTGATACCTGCCTCGCTGCACGTAAAAGTTAAGACTTTTGGGGTATAAAAGAAGGAGTTTTAGTCAGTTTCTCCGAGAAGCAGATCTGACCAACTCCCAGCTGCCCGCTGCTCTCCCAGGGATAGGTAACTGATCACTACTATCCTCTGAAACCTGGTTGCTACCATTATTGTATCTTGCGATAGCGGGTTGTTGCCCTTTGTATGATCATTGACTGTTTAACGAAAATAAAGGAAACGATTGTTTTAACATTTAAACTGTGCTCATCGTTAAATGAAACTAGTTTCCTTACGGGGGGTGGTGAAATCGTGGTCAGAAATGGCAAATGGGGCTATCAGCGATGGTGATGTGTGAGCGGGTGAGGCCCTGGGTCAGTGTCAGATGGCAGGATGAGGTGTTAGTGAGGGGGTTGAAGGCTGAGTGAGTGTGCAGCGAGTGTGTGTGTGTGTGTGTGTGAGAGTGAGTGTGCAGTGAGCTGGGTACTCACGGATCGGGTCCTTGGCCATCACGGGGATGGAGGCTGAGCTGGGAATGCCGGGGCCTGCACGGTTCACTGCGGTCACTCGGAACTCGTACTCCATGTCTTCCACTAGCCCACCCGCAGTGAATTTGGTGCCTGCGGTCACAAACAGGCGTGACTTAATTTCTTCGTCGCAGGAACAACTCAGTGCTGATATGTACCCTCACACTCACTCACACACTCATACTCACTCACACACCCATACCCATGCTCACACCCATGCTCACCCACACACTTGCACGCCCACATTCACACTCACTCCTTCAGCCTCGCTCACTCACTCACTCACACACATTCAAACTCATACAACACTCTCACACTGTGAGCCATGGGCTGGGAGAGTGACAGTGAAGTTGGGGAACACCTTGGATTGGCTCTTTGGATGCGGGGACCCAGACGTTGCTGCCTTTCTTGCGTCTCTCCACGATGTAGCCGAGGATGGGAGCCCCACCGTCGAGGCCAGGGGGAGCCCAGGTGATGGTGATGGCGTCCTTCCTGGCGTCCACCAGCTGGGGGGGCGCGAGCATTCCCGGCGACTCTGCGAACGTCAATGAGTGGCTTTATTGCTCAATCAACTCCCACTGCTTTTTGTTCACAACCCCATCCAGCACACACACGGCCTCCCTCACACACTGAGCACTCACCTGCCTCAGCCCACAGCACTGCGCGCTGCATTCACCTGTACCTCAGAGCCTGAGCCAGAGCCAGGTGTGGGGAGATCAGGATCAGGTGCAGTATGATCGGGGCCGGGTGAGTATGGATCTCCTCACAGCTGATCTGGCTTGGCAACGGAATATCAGAATCAAGTCCACCCTCTGTCTCCAATCCTGGTTCCTGAACCCAGAGGATCCGCAGTATTCCGGGGCACTGCTGGTGACAGCATATGACCTGGAATCGCAGACCAGTCACTGGGGGCAGGGAATCAACCCCTCAGTTCCTGTTAAACCTGCAAGCCAAAGCCCTAACAGGTAGGGTGGTCACAGCAACATACCAATCGGCTCCCCAAACAGATACACAGACACATAGACAGGCACACACATAGACAGACAGTCATACACAGACACACACACACACAGATGCACAAACAGACAAACAGATAGACAGACACATAGACAGACATACCAATGGGATCCCCTGCGAAGACCTCATCTGAAACCAGGGGATCGCTGATGCCCTCGCTGTTGACGGCACGCACACGGAATTGGTATGCGGTGCCCTCCTCCACCTTGTTAGTGGAGAAGCTGGTAGTCTTGCTGTCCACCTCACCCACCTTCACCCAGGACTTCTTCCCCACCAGCTTCCGCTCCACTACAAAGCTGGTCACCTGTTTGCCCCCGTTGTCCCGTGGGGCTTTCCACTTCATACTCACACACTGGCCTGTGTGCTCCAGGAACTCCAACGACCCGTGCGGCGGCTTTGGCTTGTCTGGGAATTGCAATCAGAACCTTCACTAGAGCCATCAGATCTTTACCCAGGGCCACACCCCCACCCAGGCCCACACCCCTCACCCAGGGCCACACCCCTCACCCAGGCCCACACCCCTCACCCAGGCCCACACCCCTCACCCAGGGCCACACCCCTCACCCAGGGCCACACCTCTCACCCAGGGCCACACCCCCACCCAGGCCACACCCCTCATCCAGGGCCACACCCCTCACCCAGGGCCACACCCCTCACCCAGGGCCACACCTCTCACCCAGGGCCACACCCCACCAGGGCCACACCCTCATCCAGGGCCACACCCCCACCAGGGCCACACCCCTCACCCAGGGCCACACCCCTCACCCAGGGCCACACCTCTCACCCAGGGCCACACCCCCACCAGGGCCACACCTCTCACCCAGGGCCACACCCCCACCAGGGCCACACCCCTCATCCAGGCAGTGGCCAGGACTCACCGATGACATTGAGGTGTAGGTTGGCCACAGCAGTGCCACAGTCACTCTTGAGTTTGAGCAGGATATTGCCGCTATCCTCCCTCACACAGGCTTTGAGCACCAGTACGGCCTGTGTGGGGCTCTTCTCCAGCTCTGTCTTCTCGTCCTCACACACCTCCAGCCCGTCACGGAACCAGCTGATCTTCGGCACTGGCTTCCCATGGAACGGGATCTTGATGGTTGCCGTCTGCCCGGCTTTCACCGTGATCGGCTCCTTCGCTAAGAGCGCCAGCAAGTCCGCATCAATCACCGGGGGGTCTGGGCGCAGAGCAGCCAGCAATGAGCATCCAGCATCGACACAGCCTTCGTATAACACAGAAAGCCACCACACCCCCACCATATATAACACACATAGCCCCCTCCTATATACCACACATAGCCACTCCCATACAACACACACAGCCCCCTCATATAATACACACAGCCCTCCCTCATGTAACACACATAGCCCCCCCCATATAACACACATAGCCCCCCCCACTATATAACGCACACAATCCCCTCATATAATACAAAAAGCCCACCCCCCCATATAACGCACATAGCTCCCATATAACACACATACCATCCACCAATATGACACACACAACACCCCCATGTAACACACAGAGGCCCCCCCCTGTACCTGCAATGCTCAGTATGGCTTCGCTCTCCGCTCCCTTCGCTCGGAATGTGTATTTCCCCTCGTGTTTCTCGCCCACATTGCTGAATACCAGCTTGTGCACCGCCCCCTGCTTCACCACCTGCACCCCGTCCTTATCAGTCAACTGGGAGTGAGTGCACGCACACACACACACACACACACACACACAGGGTAGAGGGACCAGAGAAGAGGGAGAGGAATGAAGTGAGAAGAAGAGATTAATGATAACCTGGAATTTTGCATGTGATACAGTGATGCCTGCCTTTCATGGTAGTGAATCGATTCAAAGGGCTTCATAGAATTTACTATGTTATGGTTGTGGTTAATAAATAATAATCAGGCAGGAGGATGGTGGCAATGCTTTCACGCATTTCATGCTGAGATGTGTTGCCCACGGGAAGCTCGCAGGGAGTTCCTGGTACCTGCCATCCACCTAGTGAGGGGTCAAACCAGCGCTTGTCAGATGCCGCACGACCAACTGGTGACTATCCTCCTTGGCGGAGAGGTAAACAGAGTCTCCCTGGAGCTGAACTGGTTTGGATCAGTCCATTCCTGAGCCAGGCAGGTCCGCAGTATTCCAGGGCACTGCTGATGACAGCGTGAGAATCTGAGATAGTGTAAGAGTAGGAGAGTGGGAGAGATTGTGAGATAGTGAGAGAAAGTTTGTGAGAGAGCGCCTGAGAAAATAGGAGACAGCCTGACTCATTGGCAAACCAGTCACTAGGGGCAGGGAATCAGCTCCTGTTAACCCTGCAAGAAAAAGCCCTAATGGGTAGGAGAGGGTCCTCTATTGCTCTCATACTCCACTCTCTCCTCCTCACACTCCCGTGCTCTCTCGCACACAATTTCTCACTATCTCACAGACACACTCACTCACTCTTGCGCACTCTTGCTCTCTTTCACTGATTCGCCCTCTCTCTCGCTATCACTCTCATTTACTATCTATTAATCTCGCTCGCTCTCTCACAGTCTCTCTCACACTTGCTCACTTTTTTCTTACTTTCTCTCACTTTTTCTGACCTTTGCTCACTTTCTCTCAGCCTCTCTCTCACTCTGTTTGTCACTCACACACATCCTCTCTCACTCTCTGTCTCCTATTTTCTTAGGCGCTCTCTCACAAACTTTCTCCCACTATCTCACAATCTCTCTCACTCTCCTAGTCTTACACTCTCTCAGATTCTCACGCACCCTCTCACTCAGGCTCTCTCGCACGCTTATACACTCTCCCATTCTCTCGCGTGTTCTCTCTCGCTCTCTCACACACTCACCTCTTTTCCATCTTTTAGCCAGACCCCATCCACCTTCTCATCGTTCAGCACCACGCAGAACTCTGCATTCTGCCCTGTTTGTGGGCTGCAGTCAGACATCCCGCTCTTCACTGTGGCAAAGCGATCTGTCAGGGTCAGGCAAGAGACATGGTCACTGCCCACCTCCAGGCTAGCCTCCCCTTCCCCTTTCCCCACCCCCACCTTCACCCACACCCTCCACCGTCCCGTCCTCACCCGCAGCCTCACCCTCCACCCTGGTCTCCGCTTCCCCCAACCACACCCTCATCCATAACCCCATTCCCACCCCCACCCGCGGACACGCTGCACCCGCTGGTGGTGTGAGTTACCCTCCACGGTCAGGCTGGCTGAGCTTGGATACTCTCGGGGGTCGCTGTCCTGTGTGGCCACGATGGTGTAATCCCCGGAATCAGCCAGCTCCGCGTCCTCGATGATGAGCTCTGCGCGCCGGCCCTCGCGGATGAAGTGGACTTTGGGGGATCGCTTGATCTCCTGGCCGTTCCGCAGCCACTTGATGTGAACGTCCTTGGAGCTGAGCTCGCACTCCAGTCGTGCCTTTCCCTTCTCACGCACTCGCACGTTCTTCAGGGCACTCGGGAACTGGATAGGAGTCCCTGTGGGGCAGTCAAGGTTCTAATCAACAGCCGTGCCAGGCGTGTGCCAGGCATGTGCCGGCCTCCCACTTCCCCACCCCCCCCTCCTCATGAGCCAGGCATGTGTCAGACATGTGTCGGGCATGTGCTAGGAATTTTGCTGAGTAGAAGTGAGAACAATGAGGCGGTGAGGGAGGGGGTGAGGGAGGAGAGGGTGAGTTAGGGGCAGATGATTGGGGTGAGGGAAGGGTAGACTGGAGGTTAGGGATGGGCAGAATGGGGGTGAGGGAGTGGTAGAATGGGAGTGAGGGAGGGGCAGACTGGGGGTAAGGGAGGGGCAGACTCGGGGTGAGGGCAGGGCAGACTGGGGGTGAGGGAGGGGTTGAGGGACGTACGGTCTATGAGCATCTGGCCAGATGAGGTTTTGTCGCCGACACAGACGCTGTAGAGGCCCAGGTCACTGGGACGCACGTCCTTGACCTTGAGGGTGTGGGTCAGGCCGTCCTCGGACACAGTGATGTCATGCTTCTCGTCACGCTTCAGCTCGGCGCCGTTCCACCGCCACAGCACTCCATCCACCCGCTTAGTGAGTTTGCACTCAAACACCCCCGTCTGTCGTTCTGTCACCGTCACTGGCTTCAACTCCGACACAAACTTCAGTGGCTCATCTGAGAGAGAGAGAGAGAGAGAGCGTGTCAGAGAGAGAGAGAGAATGTGTGAGAGAGAGAGAGAGAGCGTGAGTGGGAGACAGAGAAAGTGTGAAAGAAAGAGAGGAGACAGAGTGTGAGAGAGACAGGAAGAGTCAGAGTGTGTGTGTGTGTGTATGAGAGGCAAAGAGAGATAGAGGATAGAAGCACCACCAGTAGATCGGAACTGTCTGCAGTACTGAAGCTGCGGCCTGACCAGAGCACTGTACCTGACCTCCGTGTCCACTTTCTTCTTCATTTCCTTCAGAGGATGAGAGCAGTACTGTCTGGGGATTTTAACTCACCTAATTTAGCAACATAGCCCAGTATCCTGTTTGCCTTATTTATTGCTGCGTCACACTGTTTGGACATTGTGAGCGACCAGTCAACTAACACCCCTAGATGTCTGTCAGCTTTCCCCTTTTCCCATCCATGGACTGTTGTGTTTCATATGCTTAGATCCTATTTGCTTGTCCTTATTTGTATTAAACTTCATATGCCACTGATCAGCCCATGTACATCCCTGTCATACTCTCAATGTAGGACCTTTGCTGCCTCCTTTGATTCCATACATTCCTCCCAATAACATGTCACCTGTAAATGTGACCACTGCATTCCGTGTTCCCATTCCCTGTGCTCCCAGTCCCCATGTTCCCATCCCGTGGTCCCATTCCCCGTGTTCCTGGCCTGTGTTTCCGGCTCCTGTGTTCCCAATCCGTGTTCCCATTCCCCGTGTTCTCTGCCCGTGTTCCCAGTCCGTGTTCCCAGCCCCTGTTCCGTGATGTCAGGGACAAACCTACGACATTGAGCACTGCACTCATCCTCTTGTCGGCCACCTGCAGGCTGTACATGCCGGAGTCCTTCATGCTCACGTTCTTCACCACCAGCTGGTACTTGGTCCCCACCTGCTTCAGTTCGTACTTTCCCAGAGAGAACTGCGTCCGGATTGGCTCTGCGCCCTGCAGAGAGAGCAGCCACACCTGTCATTTCATCATTAACTCACTGACATCCCCTCACTGACATCCCCTCACTGACACCCCATGACTGACGCCCCCTCATTGACACCCTCATTGACGCCCCCTCATTCACACTCTGTTACTGACACTCCATCACTGACCTCACTGATATCCACGCATTCATCACATCCAGGTTTGACAAGGGCAACTCCTTGCCATCCTAACTCTTCCCTCCACAAGCTGCAGATTATCCAGAACTCTGCAGCTCAGGTCTTCTCCCACACCAGGCTACATGAGCCTACCATCCCCACCTTGGGCGGCTCCACTGACTCCCCATCCCCAGAGGATAGAGTTCAAAATCCTCCTCTATGTCCTTGCTCCTTCCTCCCTCTGCAACCGGCTAACCCCATACCAACCCTCCCATTTCTTCCACTCGGAGGGCACTGGCCTGCTCCACATCCCCTGCCCTCCCCCACCATTAGCGATTGGGCCTTTACCTTTTCTGACCCTACCCTCTGGAACTCTATTCCCAAATCCCGGTCCTTTTGCCTTGCCTCCTCTCTTGCCTCCTTCAAGGCCCGTCTCAAGATCTTCCTCTTTGACTGTGCCTTTGGCCACATTCCCACCTACACCCTCCTTTGCCCTCCACCTCTCCTGATCCCAACCCCCAGCTCTGGTACAAACCATTAACTGCCTTGGGAAATCCTTCAACGTTAAAGGCCTGCATGAATGTAATTTGTTGTTTTTGAGGGGGATGAATGGGGGCTCACCTTGAACCAATTCATCTTAATGTTGGGGTCTTTCAGCTCCAGGATGGTTTCAAAGATCACAACCGAGTCCACTTTTCCTTCCTGGTCTTCAAGAGGCTTCAGAATCTTCACCTTCTGCAGAACGAGAGAGCGAGAGAGAGAGAGCAGTGGCGCAGAAAGCACTGACAAAATGACACAATGATCGGGAGGGGGGCTGGGAGGATGAGTGGGGCTGGGAGGGGGAGGGCAAGGAGGTCTGTGAGGGCAAGGGGGAGGAGGGTCTGGGAGGACGAGGGGGTCTGGGAGGGCGAAGGGGTCTGGGAAGGGGAGGAGGGGCTGGGAGGGCGAGCGTGGGATGGGAGGGGGAGGGAGGCTGGGGGGTGGCTGACCTCCGTGTCCACTTTCTTCTTCATTTCCTTCAGGCGTTTCAGCATTCCCCTGAAATCGGTGAAGCCGTACTCAATACAGATTCGCTCGTAATCCTTCTTATCTGCCTTCACCAGAATCTCCCACATCTCCTTCTCATCCGGAACCTTCCGTTCCTCGCGAGGGGCAGGAGCAGACCTGGCAACAGAGAGAAAGAGTGAACAGAGACAGGGAGAGGCAGAGAGAGAGAAAGATCAGAGACATAGACAGACAGACAATGAGTCACAGAAAAATATTAAGAGAGAAGGAACAGAGAGAGGTGGAGAGCAAGATCAGAGAGGGAGAGCGAGACATACGGACAAAGAAAGAAAGAGAGATCAGAGGGAGACACACCAAGCGTGAGACGAAGAGAACGAGTCAGAGAGAGACAGAGGAAGAGACAGAGAGAAAGAGGGAGAAGAAGATTATGCAGGGAGGTGTCCAATACCTTTTCTTCAGCATTGTGCGGAAGTTGACCTGTTTGTCCTGAACTGGAATGGAAACAGACACAACTCATTAAGTGCTGCTTCTTTTCCAACCTGGAGGGGGGGCAGGGTCAGGTGGGGCTGGGTGTGGCCGGATGGGTTTGGGCGTGGCTGGGTGGAGTTGAGCTACGTGGGGTGGGGCAGAGTTGGATGGGGCGGGGTTGAGGTTGGGTGGGACAGTGCTTGGAGGGGCCGAGGCGGATGGGGCAGCGGCACACCTGGGTGGGAGGGATGAGAGGTGGTGGGGCTGAATGGGAGTGGGTCAGGGGCTGGGCAGCTGGGCTGCGGTAGGGAGAAGTGAGAGCAGATGGGGCGTGGCTCTCCTCCCCTCACCCTGACCATTTCCCCCCCAATGCTCGGGTCCTGACCCAACTGTACAGCGCCTTGGGACGTCCTCCCGACGTGAAAGGCGCTCTATAAATGGAATCTTGTTGTTGTTGTTGGCTGGAGGGGGTGAGAGTGGGCAGGACACTGGTTGGGCTGGGGCGGGGCAAGGTGACTGAAGCTATGCCCATACCAGCCGGCGGGGTGTGTGTGGTGCTGTGTGCGGCTCAATCACTCACTCTCCGTCACAGACAGCGACACAGTGTAGGTACAGTCAGCGTGCACGTTAGAGGCAATACACTTGTAGGCGTCTTCATCATCCGCTGTCAGGTTCTCGATCTGTAACCACAGCAACAGATGTAGGGTCGACACAGTACACACCTACACACTGTAACCACAGCAGCTGCCGAGACCAGCATCCCTCTCTCTCCCCCACCCGCGCCCCCACAGACACTCACTCACACAGACACACTCACACACACACAACACATGTGCAAACAGACACTCACTCACCCACACATATACGCACACAAAATGCACACATGCACACACGAGACAGACACACATAATCCTTGAATTTGATATAACGCCTTATCACATCTTCAAGACAGGGTATACTGCAAAGTGAATTGACTGTATATTTTGTGTGCGAACGGGGCCAATTGCGCACAGCAGTGTCCCACAAACAGTCGTGAATTGAGTGATCAATTTATTATGAGTGTTACACTCACACACACAGACACACACACACACAGACATACACAACAAACACATGTGCAAACAGACCCACATTCACACAAACATGTTTTTGATCAGTCAGACACATCTGGAAACCCATTGTCATGTTTAAGAGTATCAAAACCAAACTGAGAATTAAATACATCCCACCTACACATGGAAATCCCAGAGCTAGATAGTTGGAATGGAATTAACACTCTCTCCCTGGAGGGATGCATCCTGCTTACCCAATTCTGGAGAGTATTATCTACAGGTTAGCAAGAACCAAGGCTTAGGGACCTCAGAGTGTGCGTTGGGGACTAACCAGTATAGCTTGCCATCGAGAGCACTGTCTGGCAAGCTTTCCCACTGCTCATCCAGCTAGGACCACCCTACCCGTTAGGGCTTTGGCTTGCAGTGTTAACAGGAGCTGATTCCATGCCCCCAGTGACTGGTCTGTCCTGTGCTGTCATCAGCCGGGCCCTGGAATACTGCGGACAAACCTGGCTTAGGAACCAGAGTTCGTGGGCGAGGGCGGACTTTACCTTCAGGATATTCTCCTTTGTGACGTTGTCAAAGCTGATCCTGGCTCCCTCTCGGAGTGGCTTGTTGCTCGCTCGCTTCCACGTAACGCTGGGCTTCGGATTGCCTTTGACCTTCACCTTGAACACCGCCTCCTTACCTGCCAACACACCCACAGCACAGCATCAGCCACCAGCGCACATCACCGTGGGATCACTCTTTCACATATTCACTCACTCACTCAATGACGACTTACATTTATATAGCACCCCTCACACAGGGTAGCATCCCAGAGCACTTGGCAGTGGCGGAGCACGATGCCGAGCCGGGGGGGGGAGGAGGGTAAGGTTGTAAATGAGGGAAAGGGTGTTTGCTTTACGGAGGTGGGGGAGGTGGCTGTGTCGGGGAGAATGGGCGATGGGGTAGATGATGCGGGGGGGTGCTGCTTTGGGAAACCCATCGCAGAGAGCCATGATGGGCCTGGCGGAAAATGCCCAAGCTGGAGCAGAAGGAGACAGCAATGAGGTCCAGGTGCAAGGAGGGAAGTGGAAGAGAAGAATTGGGCGTAGCGGAGTTTGGGGAGTAGAAGAGGGAGCATTTTCAGAGGGGGAGGGCTTCAGTTGGGGCAGCAGCCAAAATGGGCATGTGGACACTGGGACCTAATCGTTCAGCGGCACATGGTAAGCCTGCAGGCATAGCAGGAGCTAGAGAGACAGCACAGGGGGAAGAGAGAAAGGACGGCACTCGTGGCTTTGTTTGGACCAAAGCCAGAGGGGAGAGAGATGGTGGACAGGGGGCAAAGAAGGAGGGCAGTGAAGAAGTGAGGATAATAATAGCAACGGAAATGATACAAAACCTAGACTTAACCTGATAGATGTGAAATACAGCGCTTGCTTGCTCGCGTCACTCTCACACACTCGTTTTCACACACTCCCATTTTTTTCATTCTCACACACTCTCAAACACACGCACGTACTCTCTCAAACTCTCTCACACTCTCTCTTGCACACTCTCTCGCTCTACCTTCCTGGGCTGTCACAGAAATTGGCTTCTCATTAAACTGGGGGATGGTTTCTCCTGGTGGGATGGTGGCAGAGTGGGTCTCCACGCTCAGGCTCTGCAGGGTGACAGATGACTTCCTGCGAACCTGCTCAAACTCTGAGAGAATAAACCTGGTGTCAGCAAACGTGCCCAGTGAGCCATTGTTTATGTCAGTCACTGTGTCTGTAGTTAACAACTATTGCTATCATGAGAGACTGTATATATATATATATACAGTGAGCATACTATATCTATCGTGAGCCCCTGGCTACAGTGAGCGACTGTGTCTATAGTGAGCGGCTGTGTGTACAGTGGGTGGCTGTGTCTATAGTGAGCGGCTGTGTGTACAGTGGGTGGCTGTGTGTATGGTGAGCGGCTGTGTGTACAGTGGGGGGCTGTGTGTACAGTGAGCGGCTGTGTGTACGGTGAGCGGCTGTGTGTACGGTGAGCGGCTGTGTGTACGGTGAGCGGCTGTGTGTACGGTGAGCGGCTGTGTCTATGGTGAGCGGCTGTGTGTACAGTGAGCGGCTGTGTGTACAGTGAGCGGCTGTGTGTACAGTGGGCGGCTGTGTGTACAGTGGGCGGCTGTGTGTACAGTGAGCGGATGTGTGTACAGTGAGCGGATGTGTGTACAGTGAGCGGATGTGTGTACAGTGAGCGGATGTGTGCACAGTGGGCGGCTGTGCGTACAGTGGGCGGCTGTGTCTATGGTGAGCGGCTGTGTCTATGGTGAGCGGCTGTGTGTACAGTGGGCGGCTGTGTGTACAGTGAGCGGATGTGTGTACAGTGAGCGGATGTGTGTACAGTGAGCGGATGCGTGTACAGTGAGCGGATGCGTGTACGGTGAGCGGATGCGTGCACGGTGAGCGGATGCGTGGACGGTGAGCGGATGCGTGCACGGTGAGCGGCTGCGTGCACGGTGAGCGGCTGCGTGCACGGTGAGCGGCTGCGTGCACGGTGAGCGGCTGCGTGCGCGGCTGCGTGCACGGTGAGCGGATGCGTGCACGGTGAGCGGCTGCGTGCACGGTGAGCGGCTGCGTGCACGGTGAGCGGCTGTGTGTACGGTGAGCGGCTGTGTGTACGGTGAGCGGCTGCGTGTACGGTGAGCGGCTGTGTGTACGGTGAGCGGCTGTGTGTACGGTGAGCGGCTGTGTGTACGGTGAGTGCCAGTGTCGGTGCCAGTGTTGGTGCCAGGCTCGGTGACAGGCTCGGTGCCAGGCTCGGTGCCAGGCTCGGTGCCAGGCTCAGTGCCAGGCTCGGTGACTATCACGGTATGCACGAGGGGCAGGACACAGTGCTGTGCCCATGGGGAGGTGACGCAGCTGTGGGTTACCTTCCCCGGTGGTGACCTTGGTGACACGAGTGACCTTGGAGACCCTGGTCGTCCCCATATCCGACCTCTGCTCCGTGGTCACTGTGCTCGTACTCGTGCTCATCACTCTCATCGACATGGCGACCGGGCTTCAGCTCTCACTCCACCTGTCACACACAGCACTACAGTCACTTCACCTGTCATACATGCCCCCCTCTCCCTCCCCCTCTTCTCCCACCCCCTTCCCTCCCTCTCCCCCTGTCTGAGTGTGTGCTGACCTGGCTGCCAGAGCCTATTCTGGGCTGGAATCTCTGGAAACATCCTGTGTCTCCAGGGCTCCAAACATTCCAAGATGATGATCTTCTCATCCTGACCTTCAAACATCCCGCCCCCCCCTCCTCCCCTGCCCCCCTGCCCCCCTACCCCTGTTAGACACTAAAGATCCGGCGGTGCTATTCTCTCACTCGGGGTCCTGGCCGATAATCCCCCAAATAAACATTCACCTCATGGTTGATGGTGGACTTTGCGAAAATTTGGTGCCGTGTTCGCCCATAAATACAGTCACTACACTTTATCCAGGGAAGAGCTTTTAGACAACCTCCCAAGATGTGATATCAAAGGCTATAACCCCTCCACCTTCATCACCTTCACACTACAGCCAGTCACTGTCCCCACTACAGCCGGTCACTGTCCCCACTACAGCCGGTCACTGTCCCCACTACAGCCGGTCACTGTCCCCACTACAGCCGGTCACTGTCCCCACTACAGATCAGCAGAGAGAAGCTCAGCATGGGACACATGTGGGACCTCAGTCGTAATTCCAGCCCCAGCCACGACCCCAACCACAATCCCAACCCCGAATCCAGCCCCAGCCCCGAACCCAACCACAATCCCAGCCCCGAACCCAACCCCAAACCGAAACACAGCCCCAACCCCAATCCCAGCCCCAACCCCAATCCCAGCCCCAACCCCAACCCAACCCCAACCTCAAACCCAGCCCCAGCCTAGCAATGCTGATTTACTGAGCCTGTGAATAAACGACAGATTACGTTTACATGTTTATGTGGTAACTTGGTTATTCAGTTACCCATTTACACAGTTATCTGATTTTGTGGCTACATAGTTATCAGGTGGTCTGGACATGGTGATCATGTATTTACAGAGTTACTTGGTTAAGCTGTGAGCTGGTTATGGGTGAGCTGATGACACAGTAAACTGATAATGCCATTACCTGGTTACGTGAATACGTGTAGACCTGGCTTGGCGGTGATCTGGTTTGAGAGTTTCCTCACAGCAGGCTGACTCCAACAATACCAGGGCTAAGTCAGACCCTTGCTCGCTTGCTCGCTCGCTCTCACTCTGGCTCAACTCACAATCACGACCTATTTGGTAAATGAGATCAATGGTAAAGCTGCCCCAGTCCCCCAGAGACACTCAACAGCTGATCAGCCTGAGCCCATCACCCCGACCAGCACAGACATACTCCCACACACAAATAGCACCTGAACTGACACCACCTGAACACACTGTGTGAATCTGTCCCTTCACTCTGTGTCTCACTCTGCATCTCTCACGCTATGTCTCTCACTCTGTGTCGCTCTGTGTCTCTCACTGTGTCTCACTCCCTGGAACTGTTTGTTACACGGGCTACATATTGTGTTGCACACTGGGGAAAAGCTGTGTGCAATCCCTCTGCCTTGCCCCCCCACCCCCCCCCGCTCCCCTTTGTCAAGTCCCACCTGAAAACCTTCGTGGAGTCCTGTAGCTCAGTGGTTAGAGCACTCGCTTTGCAAGCGAGAGACCGGAGTTCAATTCCAGGCAGATGGTGAAACCTTGGGCAAGTTTCCTTACTCCACACAGAGCCTAATAATAATCCCTCCAAAATTAAAAACAATAATAAATTGGTCATTTTCAATCCACGACTGTTTGTGGGACATTGCTGTGCGCAATTGGCTGCCGCGTTCGCCCACAAATATAGTCAATTCACTTTACAGTATATTCTGTGAAGCGCTTTGGAACATCCTCCCGACGTGAAAAGCGCTATATCATATGCAAGGATTATTATTATTATTATTCCTATCGTACCCACGGTCACCTCCCCCCCACCCCAGAGTCAGGCTCGCCGTTGTTAAGCGCTCTGAGACACTATCCTGCGTGGAGCGCGCTATGTAAGTGCAAGTTGTTGTTATCAGGGTTTTCGTCTTTCGAAGGTCCCGTCTGCATTTGATATAGCACCTTATCATGTCGTTGATAAGGTAAAAAGGTACTAGGGCATGAAGGGATTTGAAAGTGAGAATCTTAAAATTGATCCATTCTGTAACAGAGAGCCAGTGGAGTCTGACAGGAACTGGGGTGATGGGGGGTGCGGAGCCTGGTGAGGTAGGGTTTTGAATTATTTGGACCTTGTTTAAGTGGAGCTGGGGATACCAACTGGCAAGAAGTGACGAAAGCAGGAATGAGAGTCACTACACTTTGTGGTCTATTCAGCGCCTTGGGACGTCCTCCCGACGTGAAAGGCGCTCTATAAATGGAATCTTGTTGTTGTTGTTGCTGTATTTTATTTTCCTCTTCACTCCCCATCGCTGCCTGAGGGTGAAGAGTCACTGACATTGGAACATAGGAAAAGAAGTAGGGCCACTCAGACCCCAAGCCTGTTCCGCCATTCTATTAGATCATGGCTGATTGGTGACTCAACTCCAATGACCCACCATTGCCCAATATCCCGATACTCTGACCTAACAAATATCTATGCACCTCAGTTTTGAAAATTTGAATGGATCCAGCATCCACAGCCTTTTGGGAGAAGTGTTCCTGATTTCCACACCCTTTGGTAAAAACTTTGCCTCCTGATTTCACTAAGTGGCCGAGCTCTAATTTTAAGATTATGCCCACCTTTTTCTGAATGTCACCTCACTGCCCTCTGAAACTCCCTCTCTCTCTCCCACCATCTTGCTCTCTCTCTCCGTTTTTTTGGTCAGCCGGAACCCATCACCATGCTGGAGTATCCAAGCCAAGCTGCGAATTTCATGCATCCCACCGATCCATGGAAATCCCAGAGATAGATTGTTGGAACCGAATGCACACTCTCTCACTGGAGAGACACATCCTGCTTACCTACTTCCGGAAAGTATTAGGTGCAGGTTGGTAAGAGCCAAAGCTTGGAGACCCCAAAGACAGAGCTGGGGTAATTGCGGGAGTCTAACCAGCTAAAATCACATAGCTTACCATTGAGAGCACTATGATACGGCTATGATCACCTCCCCTTCCTCATAACTCACAGAGAGAGAGAGAGACTGAACAGGAATAGAGAGACTGTGATTAGGAAGAGAGAGCAGTGTGGTCAGGCAGTGAACATCTGGGGAGTTGTGATGTTTCTTTAAGACGTAGAAAGAAACTTTCCATGTGTCAGCACGATTGGGGGTTGGCTACAGCTGTCTGAGCTCTGGAGGTGACGTGAGCCAGTATTGGCCATCCTCAGGGGGAAGCTGGAAATGGGAACATGACCTAATAAGAGCAAAAAGAGACTAGCACCTGTCAGTGAGGAGCTGAGTGCTCCCAGCCCACTCCAGAATAACGCAATCCATCTCTGCAGTGGTCCCAGGCCGCACACCATAGCCATAAACTGTGAGCACACAGCACCTCGCACACACACACTTCTCGCCTTATTATTTCAAGCAGTTTACATTTATATATACAATCTGCAGTGAGACACGGGGATCAGTAACAGAGACACTGACGAGAGAGACAGAGACAGTGCTGGTGAGGCACCGAGTTGGGGACGGGCAAGGCTCCCTCAAGCAGCAACCGTCACACACTCATCTTTACAGGCCCGAAGATCCTGAAATTAACCCTCTAACCCTGGGACCACTGTTACTCTAACCCTAGGACCACTGTTACTCTAACCCTGAGATCACTGGTACTCTAACCCTGGGACCACTGTTACTCTAACCCTGGGATCACTGGTACTCTAACCCTGGGATCACTTTCTAACGTAAACAGCAATGGAGCTTTCCCCTGGCCCCGATGTCTATATAAAGAAGAATCAAAACAGATTATTTATAATTTTATTGAGTTTCAAAGACAATGCTTCACAGTGGTTCCCCTATAACCACGTCCACCCCACCACCCCCCACCCCACACACAAACACTTCCACTCAGTGAAATGCACTCAAACTTCTAACCCTCCCCACCACACACACCCTCCCGCCACACACACCCTCCCCCCAAACACACCATCCCACACACACACCCTCCCGCCACACACACCCTCCCCCCAAACACACCATCCCACACACACACCCTCCCGCCACACACACCCTACCCCCAAACACACCATCCGACACACACACACACTCTCACACACACATCTTCCCCCACAAACCCCCTCCCCACACTGTTCGCCGCCCTCCCAGGTCAGTGTCAGAACGGGTTAGAGACAGACTAAAGCCCCCTCTACACTGTCCGGCCACACTCCCAGGTCAGGCAGCAGACAGATTTCCTCCAGTGGCTGAGGTGATGGCTGCTCTGTTATCACTCTGCGTGCTGTGTTTGCAGAGCGTAAAGGATGGTCTTCAAGATGGCGGTGACAGCAATGGCCCCCGGGTCAGGGTTGGTGAGTATGGTGGACAGGATGTAACTGGCTCGGCCGGCCTGCGCTGTCATGTCCTTTGTGGCCTCCACAGCCGCTTGAGCTTTCTATGGGGTGGGGAGTAGAGGGGAGAGAAGCAGCCAGAGAAAAGTGGGTGGAGAAATGGGGGAAGTGTGTATCTCTTGCTTTTTATTTTTTTTAGTTTATTAATTTGGTGGCCCCTTAATCTATTCTACCGTTAAAAATCCAAGTGCAAATAAGTAGTTAAGCAGCTTTTGTTCCTCGGTTACTCTGGTTAGCACCTCCTTCCACCAGGAATTTTGCTATTGGTTTAGGTGGGAGATTTGAAAATAGAGCTTCCAGGTCTAGCCCAACCGACACCCCCGTCTCCCGCGCCAGACTTCATGTTGGGGGCGGTGCGCGGAGGATGTCCAGGTGTATGTTGGGGTAGGAGGTTGAGGGGGAGAGAATCGGGGGGAGGGAGCTGGGGGGAAGAAGTAGGGGCCGAGGGGAACATGGGGAGCGGGTTGGTGGGTGTATGTTGGGGCGGGTTGTTAAGTACCTGCACGGCGGCCTCCAGCACTGTGATGGGATTCTCAGTCTCGGGCGTTAGTTTCTGTAGCTCCTCACAGGCAGCACACAGAGGGTCCAGCTAGAGAGGAGAGTCCGTCACACATATCCTCCCTTACTCTCTCCTCCCCTCCCTCCTTCCCTCGTTCCCTTCCTCCTTTCTCCCTCCTCTCTCTCCCCCCTCTCTCCCCCCACCTCCCTCCTCTCTCCCCCCACACCACCATGCCCTCAGACAGTCAGGCTTAGTGTGTGGCTCCCCCTGGTGTCAGGGGTTCTGAGAACTGGGGGTAGCCACTGTGTTTCTGCTATTACAGGTTAAGAGTGAAGTCGGCCACTGACATTGGCACACTTACCATGGTCCTGTCTCCGGGACTAGCTCCTCCGTACCTACGGGTTAAGAGTCACAGTCAGAGGATAACTCCCACCCCAGTTATTCGGCGGCACCCCACCCCACTCTCCCCCAAGTCCTCCACCCCTCCCCATCCAACTCCGAGCCTGGGCTGTCAGTGGGGGGGGGGGGGGGGCTGGGGGCGGGGCTGTTAGTAGGGGGAGGGAGCCTGGAGGGTGGAGCTCAGTGGGGAGCCTGGAGGGTGGGGTTGTCCATGGGGCAGGAGCCTGGGGGCAGGGCTTTCAGTGGCCGCTGTGGACCAGCCTCATTTCATCACCACAGCCTGTGTAACAGCCCAGGAGCGCCACAGCCTGGTATACTGTGGTACTGCAGCTCAATCACACTGGAACGATTCATCATGTCGTGGGGTCGGTTGGATGTCTGACACATGCAGAAACCCATCACCGTGCTTAAGAGCCCCCGAACCAAGCTAGGAATTCCAGGCATTCCACCCACACCCGGCAATTCCAGAGATAGTGTACTAGGCGCAGGTTGGCAAAAGCCAAGGAATGGGGACCCCAGAGTGTGCGTTGAGATAACTGCTGGGAATCTAACCAGCTAAAGGCACACAGCTTGCCATCGGGAGCACTGTCTGGCAAGCTTTCCTGCTGCTTGTCCAGCTGGGACCACCCTACCCGTTAGGGCTTTGGCTTGCAGGGTTAACAGGAGCTGAGTGAGACGACTCCCTGCCGCCAGGGATTGGTCTGCCCTTCCAAGTCCTGCCAATGAGCCAGGCTGGTCTGGGCTGTGCTGTCATCAGCAGTGCCCTGGAATACTGCGGACCCGCCTGGCTCAAGGACCGTCAAGTGCTGGTTGTGGCTGTGGTGGACGTGGCTGGCAGCGAGCGAGGCAGCACAGCAACAGCCATCTTCAGGAAGTAAAAAATCTGGGTATTTTTGGGATATATTTGGTGAAAAATTAGTAAAAATATGCCATTGGTTTCTGACTCAAGACAAAGACGCTATTTTTGCCAGTGGAGCGCCGACACAGGGTTCAGAGGTCACAGTACATCGCACCCGTCAGCAAACGATATCAGCAAACAAGATTTGGGTGAAATTAGGATCTCAGCCCCACCTGATCACTGCCACACTCACCTCTGCATCACCTCGATGCCAGCAGCCATCGCTGCCACCCAGCCTACTGCTGTCTGGTCTCCCACAAGCTGCTGAGCTGCTGCTGTCAGGAACAGACTGTACAGCTGTAACATAAGAGTACATAGGTATAACACAGAGCCCACAGCAGGAACACAGTGCACAGCAGTAACACAGCACACAGCAGTAAGACAGAGCGCACAGCAGTAAGACAGAGCGCACAGCAGTAAGACAGAGCGCACAGCAGTAAGACAGAGGGCACAGCAGTAAGACAGAGCGCACAGCAGTAAGACAGAGGGCACAGCAGTAAGACAGAGCGCACAGCAGTAACACAGAGCGCACAGCAGTAAGACAGAGCGCACAGCAGTAACACAGCGCACAGCAGTAACCCATAGCACACAGCAGTAGCATACAATAGTAACACACAGCACAGCAGTAACACACAGCACACAGCAGTGACACACAGCACACAGCAGTGACACACAGCACATAGCCAGAGCGCTGCCCGCAGACTTTGGAGACTGACCGCGCCTGAAGTGCCGCCCATGCTGTGTTGGACCACCCTGGCCAGGCCGGTGAGCACCTCACTGCCATCCCCCGCCTTTGGCCCCGAGGACAGCCACACCTGGATCGCTGCCGGAGAGAGGGAGAGTCAAAGCCACATTTCTCTGCTTCGCCGCTCCACCAAGGGCTCTCCCCCTCCTAATATCCCCCATCTACCCAATATCTTCCCCCCCTCCCCGATATCTCTCCAGTGCTCCTGGCACTGGCTGTATGTGTGGGGTGGGGGGAGGGGGCTGTCTGTCTGTGTGTAGGGGGGCAAACACTGGTGTGTGTGGGGGGTGGGAAGCACTTTCTGTGTGTATGGGGAGGGCAGATACTGGCGATGTGTGTGTGTGGGGGAGGGCAGCATGTTGTGTCTCTGTGTGTGTGTGTGGGCAGACACTGGTTGTGTGAGTGTGTGGGGCGGGGGGATGGGACACTGGCTGACCTCGAGCTCCGCGGGCGTGTGTGCTCCCACAGTCCCCATCTCCGCCCTCCCTGTCGAGCTGGTTCAGCTCCTCCTCCATGGACAACAGCACGGTGCTGATCTCACCCAGGATCCCCTTCAGCTGCTTGGCAAAGGGCCCTGGGGAGAAGGCAGAGAGCTTAACAACAACAACAAATTACACTTACACAGCGCCTTTCACATCGGGAGGACGTTCCAAGGTGTTCCAAGTCAGGGATTTGGACCCGTGCAGGGGTTGGGGATCAATAGGAGTGGATGGCAGGGAGGGCAAGGGTAGGAGGGTGACCAAAGGTATGTTGGAAGAGAAAGGACTTGATTCGGACTTTGAAGAAGTCAAGGGAGGGTGAAGGGATTGTGGGATGGAGTTCCAGAGAGTGGGAGCAGAGAGACTGAGGATCCAATCACTGATGGTGGGGCATGGCGGGCGGGGGAACGTGGAGCACGGTGGAGCCCACCGAGCAGAGGGAGCGGACAGGTTGGTAAAGGTTTAGTACATGGCAGAGGTAGGGAAGAGCACAACCGTGGAGAGCTTTTAAGGTGAAGATCCTCTGGGGAATGGGGATGGGGAGCCAGTGGAGCCGGGCGAGGATAGGAGTGACAGGGCCACGGAGCCTGGTGCGGGGGAGGAGAGGAGCCCTGGTCATAGATGGACAGGATGGAATTTGCAACTCTGACTAAGGCCGACTGGATCAGCTCAACCACAGAGCTCAGCCAGTCAGCCACAGAGCTCCAGATACACTTTAGACAACAATAATAACAACTTTATACAACACCCAACATGCAGGGTAGCCTTTTAACAGTGGCAGAACTTGACACCAAGCTGGGGAGAGAGACAGTTGGTCCCTGGATCCCTGTGTCCATGTTCCTGTGTCTCTGTGTCCTGTGCCCCTATGCCCAGTGTCCCTGTGTCTCTATGTCCCTGTGCCTGTGTCCCTGTACCCTAGTGTCTGTTTCCCTGAGCCCAGGGTGCACATCTCTTACCCGTCGTGGCAGCAGGTTTCTCCGTGCTGCTGGGCAGCTCCTCAGGTAGCTGTAGTACACGGCACTTGTGTGCCCGTGAGCAGGGTCCTGTGTGCCGCCAGCCGGAGGCACTGGTGTCCCTGTCTGCAATCACACAGCGATGTGGTGATCCTCACCGTCAGTCAGGGTGTGAACAGCCCACAGTCACCACACATGCTCACACACACAGTCACACACACTCACATACACATGCACTCACATACACACACTCACATACACACACTCACATACACACACTCACATACACACACAACACACACTCTCCCCGAGTATTACTCACCTAAGAGGTTGAGTAGCTCTTCATTCACGTGCAGCAGAGTGAGCGAGACCCCCGCCATGTCGAGCGATGTCATGTAGGAACCCACATACGCCCTGGCGATCAGCACGCCCTGACTCTCTGAAACACAGCCACAGCAGCATGGCTCACACGGGAACATCAGGCTAGTGACTGGCACGTACAGCCAGCTTCCGACCGGGGTAGGGGGGAGCGCCTGCTTTTGCCAGAAACTGTCCTGAGGAGGGGCAAAGGGCACTCTGGTTGTTTCCAGTCTCCCTAGCAGGACAGCAAGGTTCCAATGCAGATCACTGCGTGACTGACACACACAAGATCTGTGTCCATTTAAGGCACATCAAATCCCACTTGGAGGCAGTAAATATATGTGGAACTCAGTCGAGTTTGGAGACTCTTAAGCAAGGCTTCCTTCCCGATCCTGAGCTGAATAGACCCACCCTGTGGTAGCTCGGAGCTGGTGTGAGCCACGTGCAGTTACACTGAACCTCAAACTTACCTAAATAGGAGAAGGCAGATTTGGCCACAACGTTCATCTCCAGACAGGACAGTCCCCCCAGGTTGTTCACCACCAGCACAATGTGGTCTCCTGCAGATTCACAACAGGTCACACAGGGTCCCTTCTACACTGACATGCAACACAGCCCCCACACTGCCCACCCCCGCTCCCACACCCCCCCACCATCACACCCGCCCCCCACTCTCCCCACACTTCCACCATCATCCCCCATCCCCCACTCTCCCCCCACACCCCACCACCACACACAATCACCCCACCTAGCCCCCACACTCCCAGACCCCGCAACCAGACCTGACCTGGGACCCCTGACCCCATGCCACTCACCAGCTTTCAGGCTGAGGTGTGACATGTTGCTGGGATTAATCATGTGATCCACCATTTTGTGCACAACTTCATCAGCCGACATCATCTGAGAGAGAACCCCAGATCGTCATGTCACATCGCATCACCCCTCACCCAAAAAGCCCACACCCCAACCCCCTCAGCCCAACCCCATCACCACAATCTGTCACCCCAACCCCCTCACCCCAACACCAATCCCTCACCCCAACCCCCTCACCCCAACCCCCAACCACATTGTGTCTGAGCACTAACCTTCATCCTCGCAATGCCAGCCTCCCCGTGGATACCTGTAAACACACCACACTGTAACAGCGCTCATTGGCTCCTCTCCTGAACATGCTGTCCTCAGCACAGAGCGAGGCTGAGATCAGCCACTCAGCCCTGACCAATCTCTTACCCAGTCCCATCTCCAGCTCATCTGGTTCCAGGTGAAAGGTGGGTCTTGTTCCTGGGATACTGCAGGAAGACAGGCTCACTCCAATTGTACCTGTGAGAGACCAAGAGATAAATGAGCCTCTGGCAGGGCCCAAGGCTTCTGTCCGCAAACACCTCTTTACATCTAAAGGTCATCATTTACGTCACCATTTTATTCCTCTCCAGTGTCCCCTCACCTCCTGAAGTGCAGACAGTTATCCCAGCATCAGTAACTCAGAGGAGACTGCCCACTGCAGGGAAAAGGCAATGCTCACTCACAAACTGGGGATCAATCATAGTGTAGAGGGAGGGTTACTGTGTCTCTAACCCATTCTGACACTGATCCGGGAGTGTGGACGGACAGTGTAGAGGGAGTTTGCTCTGAGTTGGGCTGAGTGTGGTGGGCAGGTTGAACTCCACTTACCCATCTTAGGGAGAATACTTGTTAGCGCTTCCACAATTTCATCCAATGATTTCCCCATTTCAGACAGTGCCCCAGCTATCTGCCAATAGAGAGAGTTCACTTCTTAAAAAATTTTTTTGGTCAGCTGGGTGTCTGAGATAGTGAGATTTCTACGCGTCCCACCTACACATGGAAATCCCAGGGATAGATTGTCGGAATGGAATGCCCACTCTCTCCCTGGAAGGACGCATCCTGGTACCTAATTTCGGAAAGTATTAGGAGCAAGAGCCAAGATTTGGGGACCTCAGAGTGTGGATTGCGGTAACTGCTGGATTCTAACCGGCTAAAACCGTTTAGCTTGCCATTGATATTGCTGTTTCGCAAGCTTTCCCGCTGCTTGTCCAGCTTGGATCACCCTACTAGTTAGGCTTTGGCTTGCAGGGTTAACAGGAGCTGAGTGGGATGACTCCCTGCTCCCAGTGACTGGTCTGCCCTTCCAGGTCCTGTCGATGAGCCAGGCTGGGCTATGCTGTCATCAGCAGTCCAGAATACTGCAGACCCGTCTGGCTCAGGAACAGGACTAGAGACTACCGCAGAGGGGTGGCTCAATTCCGACATTCCGTTGCCTGGCAGGTCACCTTGGGAGCCAGTTCAGCTTAAGAGAAAGATCAGTCAACACAGGTCCCTCTGACCCAAGTACCTTGTGTATGAGCACTGTGCCACACAGTCCTCTCCGTCCTGCTTTCTTCAGTGTAGTGAAGGCGCAGTCATCTGCGACAACCACCATCTTTACAGGTACGCCTTTTGCCCTCATCTCCTCCAGCGCCAGCCCAAAGTTCAGCAGATCACCCATGTAGTTCTTCACGATCAATAACACCCCAGCTGTGAGAGGGGCACGGGTGGGGGGGGAGATATAAATATAAAATGCTGTAAAATACAAATTTTATGAGAATTGGCCCCATATCTTTATAAAGACGCGACTTTAGTGTTATCCTGTATTTTTCATCATTTTGATTTTCTCTGTGTAGAATTGGCTGGGATGTCCAATGCTGTATTAACCATAGAGACTGGAGGCTTCAATCCCAACTCCCTGGTCTTTCACTCTCCCCTTTATATCATTTTTTCTTCAAATAGCGATCTAACTTGTAAATGTTAAATCTGTGCCACTTGAATATTTCATCAACTCCTCATGTGTAAATGTTAGTTACTCAAACTTCCCCTTAATCTTCCCATAACAGGCCTGAGTTCCTCCTTTTTCTTACTGATTCCCCCCACTGGCAACAACTTGTCACTGTTTGTCCTCTCAAACCTTTCACATTCTGAAGCCCTCAATCAGATGCCCTACGTACAGTGACTCCTGCCCCCAGCCAGCCTGCCCCAGCCCTCAGCCACACAGTGACCCCAGCCCCTCAGCCAGACTGGAGCACAGCATAATGCTGACTTTAATGAGACACCAGTGTTTTGCTTGTGATTGCAAATATGGAAGTGAAAGATCATGTTCAGCACATATCTTATAAAAAGCTCCAGATTTGCTGAGCTCACACATCTTGAGCTGTTTGTAACTTGTTTCACTTGTATTTCCGAATCACTGAGAAATACAGAGAGCAGAGTAAAACTGAAGAGTGTTATCAGAGATAAATCATACCATCAAGGCAATGGGAAATACCTGGGGTTAAAGACCCAGAGAGGATTGAGGACAAGGAGAGATTGGATAATTAGATAGATTGGATGTGCTGCAATAAATAATAATCTTTGCATTTGATACAGCGCCTCATCACGTCTTTGAGACATCTCAAAGCGCTTCACAGAATATACTGTAAAGTGAATTGACTGTATAATTTTTGAGCGAAACGTTCACTATCTAATCACAATCCATCTAATTGGAATTCTAAAGAAAATAGGCAGTTAATTAACAGGAGAGGGGACGTGATCCGGGTGTGAGAGACATCATGTTGTATAGAGTACAGTACATCCTGCCCATGTGTTACACCTACCCCACGTGCCCGCCAGCCTTACTCGCCTCCGCGTTCACCATGACTTGGATCGCTGCTGTGATACTCGCGGGCGGTGGAGAGGTGAAAACCGCTCCCGCGATGGCACCCGTCAACATTCCCGAACCAACATATCCTGGGCAGAGAAAAGGCATGGATTCTTCTGTTTTTTGGTCATCTGGGTATCTGATATACATAGAAACCCATCACCATGATCAGCTAGTGTCTGGCACATGCAGAAACACAGCACTGTGCTTAAGAGGGTCCAGACCACACTGGATTCCACGTAGATATGCCACTTACACATGGAAATGTCCCTGTTTTGGAATGGAAAGCACACTCTCTCTCTCTCTCTCTCTCTCTCTCGGGATACTCCCTATTTACCTAATTGCACAGAGGATTAGGATTAGACTCAGGTAGGTGAGCGCCAAAGCTTGGTGACCTTGGCCAAGTGTGTGTTTAGGGGTAACTGTTGGAGTTTAACCAGCTAAAACCTCATAGCAAACTTCCTGCTGCTTTGTCCTATCCATTAGAACTTTGCAGGGTTAACAGGGCCCCGGGGTACACACATAACAACTTTTAAGAGAGAAGTAGATAATTATTTGGGGAGGACAAGTTTGCAGGGCTATGGGGAGAGAGCAGGGGGAGTGGGATTGATTTGGACAGCTCTTTTCAAAGACACGATGAGCAGAATGGCCTCCTTCTGTGCTGTATAATTCTACATTTCTATGATTTTGTGTCCTCTGGTTACCGACCCAACCACCAGAGGAAACAGTTTCTTCCTATCTATCAAAAACCCTCATAATTTTGAACGCCTCTATTAAATCTACCCTCAAACTTCTTTGCTCTAAGGATTATAGTCTCTCCACATAACCAAAGTCCCTCATCCCTGGTATCATTCTGGTAAATCTGGTAAATCTCCTTTGCACCCTCTCCAGGGTCCTGAAATCCTTCCTAAAGTGTGATGCCCAGAATTGGACACAATACTCCAGCTAAGGCCTTCGTAAAGGTTCAACATAGCTGCTTATACTCTATGCCTTAATGTTATTTATAAAGTCAAGGATGCGATATGCCTTTTTTTAAACAGCTTTATCAACTTGTCCTGCCCCTTTCAAAGATTTGTGTATGTGAACCGCCAGGTCCCTCTGTTCCTGTACTACCTTTAAAATTGTACCATTTATCTTATATTGCCTCTCCTCACTCCTCCCAAAATGCATCAAATCACACTTCTCTGCATTAAATTCCATCTGCCTTGTGTCACCAGCCTGTCTGTGCTCCTGCAGTCTGCTACTATCATCCGCAATGTTTACTACGTTTCCAAGTTTTGTGTCATCTGTAAACTTTACAATTTTGCTCCCTATAGTCCAGGTCTTTAATATATATAATAATTATTATTAATATATATATTAAAAAGAGCAGTGGTACTAATACCATCCCCTGGGGAGCACCACTCCCTCCAGTCTGAAAAACAACCGTTCACCACTACCCTCTGCTTCCTGTCTCCCAGCCATTTCGATCTATGCTGCCACTGTTCCCTTAATCCCACGGGCTTCAATTTTGCTAACAAGTCTATTATGTCAGACTTTATTAAACGCCTTTTGAAAATCCATACACACAACATCAGCTGCACTATCATCATCAACCCTAGCTGTTATTTCATCAAAGAATTCAATCAAGTTAGTTAGATATGGTTTACCTTTAACAAATCCGTGGTGGCTGTCCTTATTAACCCATGTTTTTCCAAGTGAAAAGTAATTTTTTCCCAGATTATGGTCTCTAGGAGTTTCCCGACCACCGGGGTTAGTCTAACTGGTCTGTAGTGACCAGTTTTATCCCTCTGCCCTTTGTGACTCTCCCATATTCAAGCAGGATTGAAAATTTGTGGCTAGAGCCTCCGCTATTTCCACCCTAACGTCCCTTAGCAACCAGGATGCATTCCACCGTGATGACAGTGACCGGCTTGGCGTGGGTCAGTCCCATGACTTGCGATCGTGTCAATAACAGAGTACCTGCACGGCGGCCTCCAGCACTGTGATGGGATTCTCAGTCTCGGGCGTTAGTTTCTGTAGCTCCTCACAGGCAGCACACAGAGGGTCCAGCTAGAGAGGAGAGTCCGTCACACATATCCTCCCTTACTCTCTCCTCCCCTCCCTCCTTCCCTCGTTCCCTTCCTCCTTTCTCCTCTCTCTCTCCCCCTCTCTCCCCCACCTCCCTCCTCTCTCCCCCCACACCACCATGCCCTCAGACAGTCAGGCTTAGTGTGTGGCTCCCCCTGGTGTCAGGGGTTCTGAGAGCTGGGGGTAGCCACTGTGTTTCTGCTATTACAGGTTAAGAGTGAAGTCGGCCACTGACATTGGCACACTTACCATGGTCCTGTCTCCGGGACTAGCTCCTCCGTACCTACGGGTTAAGAGTCACAGTCAGAGGATAACTCCCACCCCAGTTATTCGGCGGCACCCCACCCCACTCTCCCCCAAGTCCTCCACCCCTCCCCATCCAACTCCGAGCCTGGGCTGTCAGTGGGGGGGGGGGGGGGGCTGGGGCGGGGCTGTTAGTAGGGGGAGGGAGCCTGGAGGGTGGAGCTCAGTGGGGAGCCTGGAGGGTGGGGTTGTCCATGGGGCAGGAGCCTGGGGGCAGGGCTTTCAGTGGCCGCTGTGGACCAGCCTCATTTCATCACCACAGCCTGTGTAACAGCCCAGGAGCGCCACAGCCTGGTATACTGTGGTACTGCAGCTCAATCACACTGGAACGATTCATCATGTCGTGGGGTCGGTTGGATGTCTGACACATGCGGAAACCCATCACCGTGCTTGAGAGCCCCCGAACCAAGCTAGGAATTCCAGGCATTTCACCCACTCCCGGCAATTCCAGAGATAGTGTACTAGGCGCAGGTTGGCAAAAGCCAAGGAATGGGGACCCCAGAGTGTGCGTTGAGATAACTGCTGGGAATCTAACCAGCTAAAGGCACACAGCTTGCCATCGGGAGCACTGTCTGGCAAGCTTTCCTGCTGCTTGTCCAGCTGGGACCACCCTACCCGTTAGGGCTTTGGCTTGCAGGGTTAACAGGAGCTGAGTGAGACGACTCCCTGCCGCCAGGGATTGGTCTGCCCTTCCAAGTCCTGCCAATGAGCCAGGCTGGTCTGGGCTGTGCTGTCATCAGCAGTGCCCTGGAATACTGCGGACCCGCCTGGCTCAAGGACCGTCAAGTGCTGGTTGTGGCTGTGGTGGACGTGGCTGGCAGCGAGCGAGGCAGCACAGCAACAGCCATCTTCAGGAAGTAAAAAATCTGGGTATTTTTGGGATATATTTGGTGAAAAATTAGTAAAAATATGCCATTGGTTTCTGACTCAAGACAAAGACGCTATTTTTGCCAGTGGAGCGCCGACACAGGGTTCAGAGGTCACAGTACATCGCACCCGTCAGCAAACGATATCAGCAAACAAGATTTGGGTGAAATTAGGATCTCAGCCCCACCTGATCACTGCCACACTCACCTCTGCATCACCTCGATGCCAGCAGCCATCGCTGCCACCCAGCCTACTGCTGTCTGGTCTCCCACAAGCTGCTGAGCTGCTGCTGTCAGGAACAGACTGTACAGCTGTAACATAAGAGTACATAGGTATAACACAGAGCCCACAGCAGGAACACAGTGCACAGCAGTAACACAGCACACAGCAGTAAGACAGAGCGCACAGCAGTAAGACAGAGCGCACAGCAGTAAGACAGAGCGCACAGCAGTAAGACAGAGGGCACAGCAGTAAGACAGAGCGCACAGCAGTAAGACAGAGGGCACAGCAGTAAGACAGAGCGCACAGCAGTAACACAGAGCGCACAGCAGTAAGACAGAGCGCACAGCAGTAACACAGCGCACAGCAGTAACCCATAGCACACAGCAGTAGCATACAATAGTAACACACAGCACAGCAGTAACACACAGCACACAGCAGTGACACACAGCACACAGCAGTGACACACAGCACATAGCCAGAGCGCTGCCCGCAGACTTTGGAGACTGACCGCGCCTGAAGTGCCGCCCATGCTGTGTTGGACCACCCTGGCCAGGCCGGTGAGCACCTCACTGCCATCCCCGCCTTTGGCCCCGAGGACAGCCACACCTGGATCGCTGCCGGAGAGAGGGAGAGTCAAAGCCACATTTCTCTGCTTCGCCGCTCCACCAAGGGCTCTCCCCCTCCTAATATCCCCCATCTACCCAATATCTTCCCCCCTCCCCGATATCTCTCCAGTGCTCCTGGCACTGGCTGTATGTGTGGGGTGGGGGGAGGGGGCTGTCTGTCTGTGTGTAGGGGGGCAAACACTGATGTGTGTGGGGGGTGGGAAGCACTTTCTGTGTGTATGGGGGAGGGCAGATACTGGCGATGTGTGTGTGTGGGGGAGGGCAGCATGTTGTGTCTCTGTGTGTGTGTGTGGGCAGACACTGGTTGTGTGAGTGTGTGGGGCGGGGGGATGGGACACTGGCTGACCTCGAGCTCCGCGGGCGTGTGTGCTCCCACAGTCCCCATCTCCGCCCTCCCTGTCGAGCTGGTTCAGCTCCTCCTCCATGGACAACAGCACGGTGCTGATCTCACCCAGGATCCCCTTCAGCTGCTTGGCAAAGGGCCCTGGGGAGAAGGCAGAGAGCTTAACAACAACAACAAATTACACTTACACAGCGCCTTTCACATCGGGAGGACGTTCCAAGGTGTTCCAAGTCAGGGATTTGGACCCGGCAGGGGTTGGGGATCAATAGGAGTGGATGGCAGGGAGGGCAAGGGTAGGAGGGTGACCAAAGGTATGTTGGAGAGAAAGGACTTGATTCGGACTTTGAAGAAGTCAAGGGAGGGTGAAGGGATGTGGGATGGAGTTCCAGAGAGTGGGAGCAGAGAGACTGAGGATCCAATCACTGATGGTGGGGCATGGCGGGCGGGGAACGTGGAGCACGGTGGAGCCCACCGAGCAGAGGGAGCGGACAGGTTGGTAAAGGTTTAGTACATGGCAGAGGTAGGGAAGAGCACAACCGTGGAGGCTTTTAAGGTGAAGATCCTCTGGGGAATGGGGATGGGGAGCCAGTGGAGCCGGGCGAGGATAGGAGTGACGGGCTCACGGAGCCTGGTGCGGGAGGAGAGGAGCCCTGGTCATAGACGGACAGGATGGAATTTGCAACTATGACTAAGGCCAACTGGATCAGCTCAACCACAGAGCTCAGCCAGTCAGTCACAGAGCTCCAGATACACTTTAGACAACAATAATAACAACTTTATACAACACCCAACATGCAGGGTAGCCTTTTAACAGTGGCAGAACTTGACACCAAGCTGGGGAGAGAGACAGTTGGTCCCTGGATCCCTGTGTCCATGTTCCTGTGTCTCTGTGTCCTGTGCCCCTATGCCCAGTGTCCCTGTGTCTCTATGTCCCTGTGCCTGTGTCCCTGTACCCTAGTGTCTGTTTCCCTGAGCCCAGGGTGCACATCTCTTACCCGTCGTGGCAGCAGGTTTCTCCGTGCTGCTGGGCAGCTCCTCAGGTAGCTGTAGTACACGGCACTTGTGTGCCCGTGAGCAGGGTCCTGTGTGCCGCCAGCCGGAGGCACTGGTGTCCCTGTCTGCAATCACACAGCGATGTGGTGATCCTCACCGTCAGTCAGGGTGTGAACAGCCCACAGTCACCACACATGCTCACACACACAGTCACACACACTCACATACACACACTCACATACACACACTCACATACACACACTCACATACACACACTCACATACACACACAACACACACTCTCCCCGAGTATTACTCACCTAAGAGGTTGAGTAGCTCTTCATTCACGTGCAGCAGAGTGAGCGAGACCCCCGCCATGTCGAGCGATGTCATGTAGGAACCCACATACGCCCTGGCGATCAGCACGCCCTGACTCTCTGAAACACAGCCACAGCAGCATGGCTCACACGGGAACATCAGGCTAGTGACTGGCACGTACAGCCAGCTTCCGACCGGGGTAAGGGGAGCGCCTGCCTTTGCCAGAAACTGTCCTGAGGAGGGGCAAAGGGCACTCTGGTTGTTTCCAGTCTCCCTAGCAGGACAGCAAGGTTCCAATGCAGATCACTGCGTGACTGACACACACAAGATCTGTGTCCATTTAAGGCACATCAAATCCCACTTGGAGGCAGTAAATATTGTGGAACTCAGTCGAGTTTGGAGACTCTTAAGCAAGGCTTCCTTCCCGATCCTGAGCTGAATAGACCCACCCTGTGGTAGCTCGGAGCTGGTGTGAGCCACGTGCAGTTACACTGAACCTCAAACTTACCTAAATAGGAGAAGGCAGATTTGGCCACAACGTTCATCTCCAGACAGGACAGTCCCCCCAGGTTGTTCACCACCAGCACAATGTGGTCTCCTGCAGATTCACAACAGGTCACACAGGGTCCCTTCTACACTGACATGCAACACAGCCCCCACACTGCCCACCCCCGCTCCCACACCCCCCCACCATCACACCCGCCCCCCACTCTCCCCACACTTCCACCATCATCCCCCATCCCCACTCTCCCCCCACACCCCACCACCACACACAATCACCCACCTAGCCCCCACACTCCCAGACCCCGCAACCAGACCTGACCTGGGACCCCTGACCCCATGCCACTCACCAGCTTTCAGGCTGAGGTGTGACATGTTGCTGGGATTAATCATGTGATCCACCATTTTGTGCACAACTTCATCAGCCGACATCATCTGAGAGAGAACCCCAGATCGTCATGTCACATCGCATCACCCCTCACCCAAAAAGCCCACACCCCAACCCCCTCAGCCCAACCCCATCACCACAATCTGTCACCCCAACCCCTCACCCCAACACCAACCCCTCACCCCAACCCCTCACCCCAACCCCCAACCACATTGTGTCTGAGCACTAACCTTCATCCTCGCAATGCCAGCCTCCCCGTGGATACCTGTAAACACACCACACTGTAACAGCGCTCATTGGCTCCTCTCCTGAACATGCTGTCCTCAGCACAGAGCGAGGCTGAGATCAGCCACTCAGCCCTGACCAATCTCTTACCCAGTCCCATCTCCAGCTCATCTGGTTCCAGGTGAAAGGTGGGTCTTGTTCCTGGGATACTGCAGGAAGACAGGCTCACTCCAATTGTACCTGTGAGAGACCAAGAGATAAATGAGCCTCTGGCAGGGCCCAAGGCTTCTGTCCGCAAACACCTCTTTACATCTAAAGGTCATCATTTACGTCACCATTTTATTCCTCTCCAGTGTCCCCTCACCTCCTGAAGTGCAGACAGTTATCCCAGCATCAGTAACTCAGAGGAGACTGCCCACTGCAGGGAAAAGGCAATGCTCACTCACAAACTGGGGATCAATCATAGTGTAGAGGGAGGGTTACTGTGTCTCTAACCCATTCTGACACTGATCCGGGAGTGTGGACGGACAGTGTAGAGGGAGTTTGCTCTGAGTTGGGCTGAGTGTGGTGGGCAGGTTGAACTCCACTTACCCATCTTAGGGAGAATACTTGTTAGCGCTTCCACAATTTCATCCAATGATTTCCCCATTTCAGACAGTGCCCCAGCTATCTGCCAATAGAGAGAGTTCACTTCTTAAAAAAATTTTTTTGGTCAGCTGGGTGTCTGAGATAGTGAGATTTCTACGCGTCCCACTACACATGGAAATCCCAGATAGATTATTGGAATGGAATGTGCACTCTCTCCCTAGAGGGATGCATCCTGCTTACCTAATTCCTCAGAGTATTAGGTGCAGTTTGGCAAGAGCCAAGGCCTGGGGACCCCAGAGTGTGCGTTGGTGTAACTGCTTGGGGTTTAAGCAGCTAAAACCGCACAGTTTGCCATTGAGAGCACTGCCTGGTGAGCTTTCCCACTGCTTGTCCAGCTCGAACCACCCCTACCCCTTAGGACTTTGGTTTGCAGGGTTAACAGAAGCTGAGTGGGAGGATTTCCTGCCTCTTGTGGCTGGTCTGCCCTTCCAGGTCCTGCCGATGAGCCAGGCTGTGTTGTCATCAGCAATACTCTGGAATACTGCAGACCCGTCTGGCTCAGGAACAGGACTAGAGACTACCGCAGAGGGGTGGCTCAATTCCGACATTCCGTTGCCTGGCAGGTCACCTTGGGAGCCAGTTCAGCTTAAGAGAAAGATCAGTCAACACAGGTCCCTCTGACCCAAGTACCTTGTGTATGAGCACTGTGCCACACAGTCCTCTCCGTCCTGCTTTCTTCAGTGTAGTGAAGGCGCAGTCATCTGCGACAACCACCATCTTTACAGGTACGCCTTTTGCCCTCATCTCCTCCAGCGCCAGCCCAAAGTTCAGCAGATCACCCATGTAGTTCTTCACGATCAATAACACCCCAGCTGTGAGAGGGGCACGGGTGGGGGGGAGATATAAATATAAAATGCTGTAAAATACAAATTTTATGAGAATTGGCCCATATCTTTATAAAGACGCGACTTTAGTGTTATCCTGTATTTTTCATCATTTTGATTTTCTCTGTGTAGAATTGGCTGGGATGTCCAATGCTGTATTAACCATAGAGACTGGAGGCTTCAATCCCAACTCCCTGGTCTTTCACTCTCCCCTTTATATCATTTTTTCTTCAAATAGCGATCTAACTTGTAAATGTTAAATCTGTGCCACTTGAATATTTCATCAACTCCTCATGTGTAAATGTTAGTTACTCAAACTTCCCCTTAATCTTCCCATAACAGGCCTGAGTTCCTCCTTTTTCTTACTGATTCCCCCCACTGGCAACAACTTGTCACTGTTTGTCCTCTCAAACCTTTCACATTCTGAAGCCCTCAATCAGATGCCCTACGTACAGTGACTCCTGCCCCCAGCCAGCCTGCCCCAGCCCTCAGCCACACAGTGACCCCAGCCCCTCAGCCAGACTGGAGCACAGCATAATGCTGACTTTAATGAGACACCAGTGTTTTGCTTGTGATTGCAAATATGGAAGTGAAAGATCATGTTCAGCACATATCTTATAAAAAGCTCCAGATTTGCTGAGCTCACACATCTTGAGCTGTTTGTAACTTGTTTCACTTGTATTTCCGAATCACTGAGAAATACAGAGAGCAGAGTAAAACTGAAGAGTGTTATCAGAGATAAATCATACCATCAAGGCAATGGGAAATACCTGGGGTTAAAGACCCAGAGAGGATTGAGGACAAGGAGAGATTGGATAATTAGATAGATTGGATGTGCTGCAATAAATAATAATCTTTGCATTTGATACAGCGCCTCATCACGTCTTTGAGACATCTCAAAGCGCTTCACAGAATATACTGTAAAGTGAATTGACTGTATAATTTTTGAGCGAAACGTTCACTATCTAATCACAATCCATCTAATTGGAATTCTAAAGAAAATAGGCAGTTAATTAACAGGAGAGGGGACGTGATCCGGGTGTGAGAGACATCATGTTGTATAGAGTACAGTACATCCTGCCCATGTGTTACACCTACCCCACGTGCCCGCCAGCCTTACTCGCCTCCGCGTTCACCATGACTTGGATCGCTGCTGTGATACTCGCGGGCGGTGGAGAGGTGAAAACCGCTCCCGCGATGGCACCCGTCAACATTCCCGAACCAACATATCCTGGGCAGAGAAAAGGCAAGGATTCTTCTGTTTTTTGGTCATCTGGGTATCTGATATACATAGAAACCCATCACCATGATCAGCTAGTGTCTGGCACATGCAGAAAACAGCACTGTGCTTAAGAGGGTCCAGACCACACTGGATTCCACGTAGATATGCCACTTACACATGGAAATGTCCCTGTTTTGGAATGGAAAGCACACTCTCTCTCTCTCTCTCTCTCTCGGGATACTCCCTATTTACCTAATTGCACAGAGGATTAGGATTAGACTCAGGTAGGTGAGCGCCAAAGCTTGGTGACCTTGGCCAAGTGTGTGTTTAGGGGTAACTGTTGGGAGTTTAACCAGCTAAAACCTCATAGCAAACTTCCTGCTGCTTTGTCCTATCCATTAGAACTTTGCAGGGTTAACAGGGCCCCGGGGTACACAC